GTGGCTCACGCCTGTAATCCTAGCTACTCAGGAGGCTGAGATCTGAGGATCACAGTTCAAGTACTTTTTTTTGGCGGGGGGGGGGGGGTTCAGTCGTGGGGCCTGAACTCTGGGCCTGGGTGCCATCCCTCAGCTCTTCAGCTCAAGGCTAGAGCTCTACCACTTGAGCCACAGTGCCACTTCCGGCTTTTTTCTTTCTTCTTATGTGGTGCTGAGGAATTGAGGCCAAGGCCTCATGCATGCAAGTCAAGCGCTCTACCACTGAGCCACCTTCCTAGCCCCTGAGGATCACAGTTCAAAGCCAGCCCAGGCAGGAAAGTCCATGAGACTCTTATCCCCAATCAACCACTCGAAAAGCGAAGTGGCACTGTGGCTCAAGCTGTAGAGCACTCGCCTTGAGCTGAAGAGCACAGAGACAGCGCCCAGGCCCAGAGTTCAAGCCCCACGACCGACAAAAAAAAGAAAGAAAGAGCCAGGCACCGGTGGCTCACGCCTGTAATCCTAGCTACTCAGGAGGCTGAGATCTGAGGATCACGGTTCAAAGCCAGCCCCGGGAAGGAAAGTCCATGAGACGCTTATCTCCAGTAAACCACTCAAAAAGCGGAAGTGGTACTGTGGCTCAAGTGGTAGAGCACTCACCTTGAGCTGAAGAGCGAAGGGACGGCGCCCAAGACCGGAGTTCAAGCCCCACAACCGACAAAAAAAAAGAAAGAAAGAAGAAAGAGTCTCATGAACTTTCCTGGATTTGCACTGTGATCCTTAGAACTCAATCTCCTAAATAGCTAGGGTTACAGATGTGAGCGCTTGGCCCTTGTTTTTTTTGTTTTGTTTTTTAGCTTTCTGAAACACAGTTGGTTCATCTGTGGAATAACCTTGCAGAACTGTGGTGACGGTCAGATGAAAGCATGCTGGACACACGGAAGATATTCAGCCATTATCCTCCTCCCCTGTAACACTTCTGCTGATGAACTATATAACAAATGATAGAGTTGGATTCGCTCACAAAAGAGAGCCTGGCTAGGCAGAACCTGCCAGAACTCCGTATTTCCCATAGAGAGTTTCCTTTGGATCTGTTCAACAGAATAGTGTCTGCTGAAGAAGTAGAACGTAATTTTGGGTCCGGTCGTGGGGCCTGAACTCGGCCTGGGCGCTGCCCCTCAGCTCTTCAGCTCAAGGCTAGAGCTCTACCACTTGAGCCACAGCGCCACTTCCGTCTTTTTTCTTTTTGCTTATGTGGTGCTGAGGAATCGAACCCAGGGCCTCATGCATGCAAGGCAAGTGCTCTACCACTGAGCCACCTTCCCAGCCCTGACAACTGAATTCTTTACATGGAAAAAAAGCATTAGAGAAAATGGTATTTGAGGGATGACAGTAAAGGCAATTGTCTCTGAACTTGGAACTGGATTGCTGACAAAAGTATATTGATTACCAAGAGTAAAAAGAATGTGAATCTGGGTGGCCGTGGCTCACGCCTGTAATCCTAGCTACTCAGGAGGCTGAAATCTGAGGATCGCAGTTCTACACCAGCCAGGGCAGGAAAGTCTGTGAGATTCTTATCTCCAATTAAGCACCAAAAAAGCCAGAAGTGGAGCAATGGCTCAGTGGTGGCATGCTAACCTTGAGCAACAAAGCTCAAGGATCGTGCCCAGGCCTTGAGTTTAAGCCCCAGGACTGGCATCAAGAGAGACACCAAGAGAGAGACAGAGACAGAGACAGAACATGAGATCTGAGAGAGAGAGAGAGAGAGACAGAGAGAGAGAGAGAGAGACAGAGACAGAGAGAGACAGAGCGCTAGAACTCAGGACCTGGGCACTGTCTTTTAACTTTTCTCAAGGCTGGTGCTCTACCACTCAAGCCACACCTCCACTTTGTGGCTTCTTTTTGCTGGTTCAGAGTCTCACAGACTTTCCTGCCTGGGCTGGCTTTGAACCTCCAATCCTCAGATCTCAGCTTCCTGAGTAGCTAGGATGACAGAGCACTTGACAATAATCACCTTGTTAAATGCAGTGCTGTCCTCCTCTGCCTTGTGGAAGATGGTCTTGACTTTCTTCCTTTTTTTTTTTTTGTGGTCTGAGACCAAGACTTGAACTCAGAACCTGACACTTTCACTCATTGGCAGGAGCCAGCCTTCCAAACTCCCTGATCTTGACTTTGCGCAGTCTCAGGGCTGCGATGACTCTGAGTTGTCGGTGCGTTCTAGTCCGGGAGCTGGCGCACAGTGGGTCGGTGAGCTTGCGTGCACCCTTTCAGCAGCCCTGTCTTCCTCCAGATGACAGCTGTCCTTTATGCCTCCTGCCTCTGCTGGTTCCTGTGTTACTGGTGCTGCTGGCAATCATCCTGATTCTGGTGTTTTGGATCCGACCAAAATACAAAGCAAGTAAGTGGGTTTCCACTGTTTCCCCTGAGGTTGGGCGGAGTGTGAGGAGGAAGGGAAGAGGAAGAAATCGGGGAGAGGAGAGAGAGAAGGAGACACAGGCCTGGGAGTGGCTCTGGGCCGAGCAGTCATTGTCCTTTGGGACTTGGTGGCAGACAGCTGGCCTCCCTGGCGGCCAGTGCGCATGCTCACCCAGCCCGTTGGTTTAATGTTCTTGTTGCCTTCTCAAAATTCCCAATTTTGAGATTCTTTTTGAAATTAGAGTCAAATAGACCTAACATGGACTCGACTATTTTTTTTTAAGGTGCTAGGAATCAAAATCAGGGTTTGGCCCACACTAGCCAAATGTTCCGCCTTCCAGTTTCACCCAGCCCCCATTTTAACCTTTTTTTGGGGGGGAGGCTAAGGGCAGTATTTGGATTTGAACTCAAGGCTTTACATCCCTAGACAAGCACGGTAGAACTTGAGCCTGGCTTCAGCCCCTTTTTACTTTTTAGACAGAGTCTGGCTTTTTCCAGGGTCCTGGACTGTATTCCTCCTATTTATGCTTCCCAAGTAGCTGGGGTGACAGGCAGGCGCCTAGCTTTTTCTTTTCTGTCAGTCCGGGGGCTTGAACTCTGGCCTAGGTGCTGTCCCTGAGCCTCTTTGTGCTCAAGGCTAGCCACTTGAGCCACAGCTCCACTTCTGGCTTTTCCTGAGTAAATTTATTGTAGATAAAAGTCGCACAGACTTTCCTGCCTGGGCTGGCTTTGAACCTTGATCCTCAGATCTCAGCCTCCTGAGTAGCTAGCATTACAGGTGAGAGCTCCTGGCTCCTGGCTTTGTGGCCAGCTTTTTATTGGTTGAGATGGGGTCTTTAGAATTTTTGGCCCATACTGGCCTTAAACCCTTGATCCCCCCATTCTCTGCCTCCTGAATAGCCATGATTAGAGGCATGAGCCACCGGCACGCAGATCATTACCTACCTTTTGAGCTGTTCCAAAGCCTCTGCTAGAGTGTTTTCTGGAAAGGAAAGAAAATGTGGCCATATCCAATAATCTCATAGGCAAAGAATGTTTCTCACTGGTCTGGAAGCCTACCAGAGGGCTGCACTAGCTAAAGCTACGGCTTTCCCTCATTGGACAACTGAGGCCCTCAAACAGGCCACTCTCAAAACTTGGGAGGATTCTGCTCTTTGGCAGTGAAGACATAGCAAAGAAACTGAACTGGTTCTGGTTGACGCATTCTGAGCCAGGTATGGTAGCATCTGACTGCAGTCCCAGCACTCAAGAGCCCGAGGCAGGGAGATCTTGAATTCGAGGCCAGCCTGGGTTCCCTAGAGAGAGTCTGTCTTAAAAAAAAAAAAAGAGCAATAAAATAAAATTGGAAAAACAATGCAGGATTCTGTACCAATTTGTGCAGGAAAATCTATGAGAGTGAAGGGGCCCACGGACTCCGGAGCTCTGTCCTTGGACAGCGAACTGTATGCAAACCCCTGTAGTCCTCAATCAAGTAAGAGAGCGGGGGTGGGGTTTGGGTGGGGTTTTGGTGGGGTTTGGGTTGGTGAGGGAGCCTTCTCTTTATTATTATACACGGTATGTGTGTGTGAGAGAGAGTGGGAAGGGAGGGAAGGAGGGAGGGAGAGAAAGGGTGATTGATCCCAGGGCCTTACATGGAGACATGGAGATCTTGAGTTCGAGGTCAGCCTGGGGTACATAGGGAGAGTCTTTAAAAAAAAAAACAAAAGAACAAGCCGGGCGCCAGTGGCTCACGACTGTCATCCTAGCCACTCAGGAGGCAGGGATCTCAGGATCACAGTTCAAAGCCAGCCCTGGCAGGAAAGTCCAAGAGATTCTTATCTCCAATAAACCACTAGAAAATTGGAAGTGGCGCTGTGGCCCAAGAGGTAGAGGGCTAGGCTTGAGCTGAACTGAGGGACAGCGCCCAGGCCCAGAGTTCAAGTTCCACAACCAACCAACACACACACACACACAAAGAGCAATAAAATAAAATTGGTAAACAATGCAGGATTCTGTACCAGTTTGTGCAGGAAAGTCTACGAGAGTGAAGGGGCCCATGGATTCCGGAGCTCTGTCCTTGGACAGCCAACTGTATGCGAACCCCTGTAGTCCTCAACCAAGTAAGAGAGCAGGGGTGGGGTTTGGGTGGGGTTTGGGTTGGTGAGGGAGCCTTCTCTTTATTATTATACACAGTATGTGTGTGTGAGAGAGAGTGGGAAGGGAGGGAAGGAGGGAGGGAGAGGGAGATTGATCCCAGGGCCTTCTTAAATGGAGATGTGAGTTAAAAAGTAGAACTGAACGAAGCTGGGCACTGGTGGCTCACACCTATAATCTTAGCTACTCAGGAGGCTGAGATCTGAGGATCACAGTTTGAAGCCAGCTCTGGCAGAAAAGTCCATGAAACTCTTATCTCCAATAAACTACTCAGAAAAAGCTGGAAGTAGAACTGTGGTTCAAATGGTAGAACGCTAGCCTTGAGCACAAAGAGGCTCAGGGACAAGTGCCCAGGCCCTGAGTTCAAGCCCCAGGACCAACAACAACAACAAAGTAGAACTGAGAGCAGGAATGCACTGTCCCCCATTCTGGTATTGGTCTCATTTCAGATGCCAGCTCTCTCACTGGTACTCTGAGCTTGGTGACATAGAGGAGGCCATAATTGATCTGTCACACACTTTTCTCAACCTATTTTGGAGGGTTGTTTTTTGTTTTTAATTTTTTTTTTTTTTGGTCAGTCGTGGGGCTTGAACTCTGGGCCTGGGCACTGTCCCTGAGCTCTTCAACTCAAGAAGAGTGCTCTACTACTTGAGCCAGAGCACCACTTCTGGTTTTCTAGTGGTTAATTGGAGATAAGAGTCTCATGGACTATCCTGAGTAGCTAGGATTACAGGCGTGAGCCACTGGTACCCAGTTGTTTTTTGGTTTTTAACATCGGTGTGGAATGATTCACACTAAGTTTCAAATGAATTTGGTGAGCTTGTGATTCTCCTTTTTCAGACTCTTGATCTCTGGGATCACAGGCAGGTGCTGCCGCACCAGCTAGACAACCTCCTTTTTGTAAAACATTATTTATTCATCGACAAATACAGTAATAACGTATCCCTTGGTTGAGCACAACATTTTTGTTTTGTTTTTTTCCTGGCTTATAAGTGCTGGGGATTGAACTCAGGGCCTCACACACTCGGCACGTGCCAATGACAGTAAGAATCTGGTACCTTGCTGTTCACGGCTATCCTCAAGGTGTACAATCATAGTTACCTCTCAAAGCAGGCATGGCATCCGGGGCCTGCCTAGCCCAGAGCTGGTCCCAGCCGGCTTTGGGTACAGGGCTCAGTCATATGCCTGCCCTGTCCAGCACCCTTGTGTCATCTAAGCGGGAGAGGGTAAGTGCTCTGTACAAAGTCCCCAGACTCCACGCTGTCCCACGTGGGCAGAGAACTGGCCCACTACCTCCTGTGCTTTGTCTTTACCAGGGTCAGAATCCACTCAGGAGATACAATACGCCACTCCAGTGTTCCAGGAGATGTCAACTTGGAAGCAAGGTCAGCCCAGTGGGAACCAACAGTATCATAAAAGTCTCTTATCAAGAGATGGAGGGGGGCTGGGAAGGTGGCTCAGTGGTAGAGCGCTTGCCTTGCATGCATGAGGCCTTGGGTTCGATTCCTCAGCACCACATAAACAGAAAAAAAGCTGGAAGTGGCGCTGTGGCTCAAGTGGTAGAGCGCTCGACTTAAGCTGAAGAGCTGAGGGACAGCGCCTCATGACCGACAAAAACAAAACAAAACAAAAAAAGAGATGGAGAAATGGGAAATGGGGAACAATGCCCTCCCAAACTCGAGAGGAGAATTCAAGGTCATTACTGAACACTACCAAGAACAGATTACTTAATCCAGTCCGAATAAACCAGTTTCTCCTGATTTCCCTTGCTTCTCATTGTTAGTATTGTTCATGACCGGGACTCTACCACTTGAGCTATGCCTCCAGTCAGGCATTTTTCTGGTTCATTGGAGATGAGTCTCTTGGATGTTTCTGCTAAGGCTGGCTTCAAACCTTGATTCTCAGAGCTCAGCCTCCTGAGTAGCTAGGATTACAGGTGGGAGCCACTGGCCTTCGGCTAGCAGTCGGGTTCATTTTTAGGGCCCCTCTGGGCAGATAGCCATAGCTCCCTCAACTGTGTTTCCCTTTTATTTTAGAAGACTATCACATTTCTGAGATTCGTTCTGTCTATTGTGAGCTCAACTTCTCAACTGTACATAACTGACTCCATCTCAGGAAGCTGATCGACATGAAGAGACAGCAAACTCGTCTGCCACTTAAAATGTCTAGCCTGGTCCCGCGAGTGAAGCCTGGGTTTTTCACACCTGAATGCTATCGCCTGGCTCAGGGGTGCATCTTTTCTTGCCATCACACATACTTTGGACAGGTGGGACCCTGCAGGTAGCAGCTTTTGAGGACTTTGGCGCGGGGGCCTGATTTTCAAAGAATAATCTTAAGCCACGCTGCCAAGTGCACCCTGCAGCCACTGGGTTGTCTGTTCCTGGGTCCTTCAAGGGTTCACAAGCAAAAGCACAAAGCACAATCCATCCACATTTCAAAGCAGCCCACCTAGCCAGGCACTGGTGGCTTGTGCCTGTAATCCTAGCTACTCAGGAGCCTGAGATCTGAGGGTTGAAATCTGTCTGCCTGGACAGACAAATCTGAGACACTCTTATTTCCAACTAACTAGCAAAAAGTCAGAGTGGAGGCATGGCTCAAGTGGTAGAGTGCCATCTTTGAGTGAAAAAGCTAGCCGGGCGCTGGTGGCTCATGCCTGTAATCCTAGCTACTCAGGAGGCTGAGAACTGAGGATTGCGGTTCAAAGCCAGCCCGGGCAGGAGAGTCCGTGAGACTCCTATCTCCAATAAACCACCACAAAACCGGAAGTGGCCCTGTAGCTCAAGTGGTAGAGCGCTCGCCTTGAGCTGAAGAGCTGAGGGACAGTGCCCAGGCCCAGAGTTCAAGCCCCATGACTGACAAAAAAAAAAAAAAAAAGCTAAGAGACGGCATCCAGGTCAAGTTTAAGCCTAGGTACTGGCACCGGCACGCACGCACACTCACACAAAGATCTTTTATTTACAAGCCAGTATATCAAAAATGTTATCAGCATGTGCCACTGGCCCTGGTGCACAGGTAACAGGCGGCGCTGTGCAGGCTTACTGCATTGGGCCTTCATGCGGTTGGCCTCCACTGGATCTGGCAGCCTATGTACAACCAGGTCCAGGCCTGACCATGACACTAGATGCCCCCCCCAATCTGGTTTTATATTCTGTATGTCCCCCCTCCTCAACACTGTAGCTTGTTCCACTCTGGGATCCCCTGGCTCCTGGGGAGAGCTAAGAGCCTGCTTCCCCTGGAGGGCCCGTCCTCCCCGACCCCAGCTCCGGAGAGCAGACAGGGATGGCTCTTCAGGAAGCCATGTGAAATTCTATGAAGCAAACAGAAAGTGCTTGCCGGGAGCTGGGAGCAGAGGGGCTGAGAAGTGACTACAAGTGTCAGCGATGACAGGGTTTCAGTGAGAATGTTCTAGAAATGGATGGCGGTGATAGGTGTGCAACAATATGCATTTCTCGACACTGAATGAATACCTAATATTGAGACAATGGTATATTTTATGTCATGTATATTTTAGCACAATAAAAGACTATCGTGAAGGGTCTGTATCACCAGGCTTTGTGTGTGTGTGTGTGCGCGCGCGTGTGTGTGCGCGCGCGCGTGTGTGTGTGTGTGCGTGTGTGCGTGTGTGTATTATCACCAAGGCTTGAAGTCTTGGTTGTATGTGGGTGTGTGCTAGTACTGAGGCTTGAACTCAGGGCCTGGATACTGTTCTTTAGCTTTTTTTGCTCTAGGCTGGTGGCCTACCACTTGAGTCACAGCTCTATGTATGGCATTTTGCTGGTTAGTTGGAAATGAGTGTCTCAGATTTGTCTGCCCAAGCTGACTTCAAATTTCCTTTCTTTCTTTCTTTTTTGGTAATTAGAGATAAGAGTCTCACAGACGTTCTTATCCTGGCAGGCTTCAAACCATGATCCTCAGATCTCAGCCTCCTGAGTGGCTAGGATGACAGGTAGAAGCCACCAGCGGCCAGCTTGCATATAGCTTATTGCCAAGGAGTGGGGGGGGGTGCTGTTCCCTAGCAAGAGTGTGAGATATGGGGTCTGCCTGTGCAGAGCGCGGGGAGGAGGGTCAAGGTCTCCACAGGCACACGTCCAAGGTGCGCCGCTCGCTCCCGTACATGCCTGCGGGGAGGGGAGCTGCTGCCACTCTGCCCAACCTCCTTCAAGTCCGCACAAGGCTTTGCTCAAATCCTGGCCTCCATTCTCAGCACAGTGTGCCCTTCAGCTGCGGGAGAGGAAGGCAGCGCTGAGCGCTGGCTCCGGGCCTCCGGGCCTCCGGGCTTGCCCTGAATCCCGAGCCTGTCATTTTCTGCTCGCAAAGCGTCTGAAGCAGGCAGGTAGCCGAAGCCCTGCACTCCCCACCCACCTCAGCACCGCTGCCCCAACCTTTCAAGTGCTGCCGCGATTGCATAACCCAGCACCTCCCTTCCAGGAGCACTGCGCCTGGAGCACTGCGCCTGCTCCTCTACCTGGGGGAGGGAGGGACTCTTAGAACCTCCCCTCCCCCTTCCTTGCTGCTATCCATCCACTGGGAGCAAATCCATTCCTCCAGGCCTACCTCCCCATCCCGGGACTAGACCTGGGAGCAGTCTGAGATGAGGACTTCCATGCAAATCATACATCTTAGACTGGGCAGGTGGCTCAGTGGTAGAGTGCTTGCCTCGCATGCAGGAGGTCCTGGGTTCAGTTCCTCAGCATCACATAAACAGAAAACGCTGGAAGTGGCGCTGTGGCTCAAGTGGTAGAGCACTAGCCTTGAGTAAGTAGGTCAGGGATAGTGCCCAGGCCCTGAGTTCAAGCCCTAGGATCACACATCATGCAACTCTGCAGGAAAGACCAGCGCTAAGGAACACTGGAGTTGGTCACGTGATCCTGGCAGAGCCTCTTGAGCGCTGGCCGCAGGTTGTCCCAGGAGGGGACGCCTCCCTCCCCCCCCCCCCCGGGCTGGGTCAGCGGGCGACTGGAGCAGGCCTCTGCTGCCATCTCACTGAATAGCCACAGAACCAGACATAAGTGGTGTGAGAGGGAAGCTCGCGCTCCTATTACTGCCGTTACTGTGCACAGCAAATCTGCCACGCGATGAGCCACGGGCACCCTGACACCACAGGCAGGGCCTTCCACACACAAGGCCCTTGGCGGGGTCAGACTCCAATGCTAGAAGCACCCCAGGGCTCCTCCCCTCCCTACCCACAGGAAGCCCCGCCCACCCCTCAGCGCCAACAGCCACCTTTCGCCTTTCTAAGCTGGCCATCTGCCATGGGAGTACCCTCTCACCCTGTTGGGCTCTGACACCTGTCTTACCCTTAAAGGCCCCAGCGCCACGCTGCACTGACCTTCCGCTGCGTAGACATCCAACACCCTACTCTGGATCCTAACACTCGGGTCCCTGGTTCCTCTCCATCTTTGCCTGGACATGCACTCAGCGCCTTCTGGTGGCCTCCACACTGAATTGTCAGGGAGGGAAGAGGAAGAGAACTGACTACTAGCTTTTCCATTTCAGCAGTCATGTTTTTCATGTCTAGGAGGTTATTTCAAATGCACATAGTCTTTCCGTTTAATTTGAAATCCAGCACATATTACCCCAAAAAAATGCACAAGAGGAAGTACATAGTTGCATAGATTAGATGGAGAAACCACCAATCCACCACGGGGGCAGATGGGACGTTGCCCAAAGCTGGAAAGCCTCTTCCCACTTCTTTGAGATCAAAGTTCCATCTCCAACTCAGCTCCTCGGATATGAGAATCACTGGTTTTCTCTCCAGTTTGCCCACCTGGGTGAGCATTCGTAACAGTGTCTGGGCGTCACCCAGCCTTGTCACTTTCCCTAGGTCCTCAGCAGAAGGGACAGATCTCCACTAAACCTGGTAGGACACTGAGCCAGCAAGAGCAGGATGTCAGGGACTGAGCCAGCAAGAGCAGGAAGGTCAGGGACTGCCCCAGAGATGGGAGCTCAAACCCCCTGAGTCACTGATAAGAGGAACAGGAGTCCCACAATGTGTGAAGATAAAAGTGAGTTCTACATTGGGGGGAAGATAAAGTTGAGTCCCACATTGGGGGAAAGATAAGAAGAAGATACAATCTTTTCCTGGAAGGACCAAGCCTGTCCTCAGGCAACCCACAGGCTTACAATATCAGCCCCTGTTTCTGAGGGATGGGGGGGGGCAGGTGGGGGTGGGGATTATGAGTGGTGTGTGTGTGTGTGTGTGTGTATGTGTGTGATGGAGTCTTACTCTGTATCCGAGGATAGACTAGAATCCTGCCTCAGCCTCCTGAATGCTGGGATTATAGGCACGTACCACCACACCTGGCTAATAATCTGGTAAAATACAAATATGGAAACAGCACACTGAACAGAAAATACCCAATAGGTAAGAGTGTAATTTAGTTTCATTTATTGTCTGCTCTCAGAAGTGACTTCTTCAGTGCCACCTCTAAGTCCCCTGCACTTCACACAAAATCCCTTGCAGCGGAAAGTGTGTGTCCTCCGTGACTGCTGATCATTAAGCATGGCTGTCTGCAGTCGTGGTGGCTGCTGCTCCGAGGCTCAGGCCAGGCCCTGCGGGAGTGTTTCCCACAGGCGTCCTCTCGCCCTCTGGAGGTCATTTGGCATTCCCATTTTACACTTAGCACAGCGGGGGCTGGAACTCTGCTCTGCTGGAGTGAAGGCCAGGAATCCAAAGGCTTTTCTCTGCCTGTCTACCCAGCTTTCTGACTTGAGATCAGAGTGTAAATGACACCCCAGATGGCGTGTGCACCTCATCCCTGAGACCCAGAATTCACTTGTCTCATGAAGAGGAAGGAAAGCGGAGCGCGCTAGGGTCTGAGGTGGAGACGGGGAATAGAGGGTCTTCCCCAGTGAAGGCTGTGATTCCCGGGGCCCTGTCATTGCTGGGTCTTGTTTCCTCACTGGGCAGGTCCATAGTGGGGGAAGCCAGGTGGTTGTGGGGATAGGTTCTTCCGGGCCAGGGACCCTCAGCCCAAGGGATTCCCTGATGCCAGCCAATAGTGGTTTGTCATTCCAGGGCCTACACGGAGCCACTGTTGGGTCTGAACAGAGCCAGTGCCTGCTGCCATCACTCTACTAACTCCCTGCCACCGTCGGCATTAATAACGTCACCTTCATGGTGACTGGCATCCTGACACTTGGGAGAACCCTTTTGGCACTCTCACTATTAGTCAACGCAGGAACGACTGGAGCCTCCTGACCAATGTTAAAACCTTGCTACCCACCTCCTCCTGCGGCCCGTCTTTTCTCTGCAGAAGAAAGGGCATCATCTTCTTCCTCTCAGCATCTGGAGGACTCAGGGCTCCGCCCTGCGCATCGTCATCCACAGTGGTCCTTCAGCTCCTCCCGCAGCTTGGCCTCCTGCCACAGATCACCAGACACGCGTCCTTTCTCCTCCTCAGCTATCTGGAGGGACCTGAGGACTTTGGACACTTTCAGCAATATCTTCACGCACACAAAGCACAGTGAGCCGTGCTGGAATGCCATTTGACGCATGGCAGTTCCGTCCTACCAGGGTGGAACACAGTGTCCCTCACATCCTGGGACTTGAAAGACAATAAAACAGCCAGGCACCGGTGGCTCACGCCTGTCATCCTAGCTACTCAGGAGGCTGAGATCTGAGGATCACAGTTCAAAGCCGGCAAGAAAAGTCCGTGAGACTCTTATCTCTGATAAACCACTAGAAGACCGAAAGTGGTGTTGTGACTCAAGTGGTAGAGCACTGGCCTTGAGCTGAAGAGCTGAGGGACAGTGCCCAAGCCCCAGGATAGACAAAAAAAGAAAAGACAATAAAACAACCCAACAAAAACCAGTAGAAACTACCAAAGAATATTAACATGTCAAAATAACCATGAGCCAACATGAACAGGCAGGCTCCTGGTGGCCACGGATGGGAATGTGTGAAGATCGTGATTCCTAACTCCACAGGAGAAGGGTCCTGCCCTGACCCTACTTTTTTCATACCTCTAGTAAGCAGATAGGAGGTGAGACGTCTTTTTTCATAGTACTACTTCAGTTAACTAAGACCAGAATATCACCATTTTTCAAACAAACTGATCTAGGCATTGATTGACCAGTGGTCAGCATGTTCAAAAAGAAACCAGACATTATTATAGCACCATGGTGAAAACAAATAATAACAAAAAACACCCATGAAACACTTGTCCTCCAAACACTGAACTCTGGCCAGGTGCCAGTGAGTGGTTCATGCCTGTAATCGTAACTACTCAAGAGGCTTACATCTGAGGATCATGGTTCAAAAGCAGCCCAGGCAGGAAAGTCTGTGAGTCTCTCTATCTCCAATTAATCACTCAAAAAGCTGGAAGTAGAGCCGTGCCTCAAGTGGTAGAGTGCTAGCCTTCAGCACAAAAGCTCAGGGACAGATCCCAGGCCCGGAGTTCAAGCCTCAGAACCACACACAAAGAAGTAGAAACTGAACTCAAGGGCTTGAGGTATGACTCAAGCCAGAGGTCCTGCCTAGCAAGCACAAGGCTTACTTCAGTCCTCAGTTACCACCACAAAATGGAACCTGAGGCACCCTGGAGTCAACTCCCAATCTACTGGACCTCTGAGGACAGGTTGAGCCACACCACAGAGGTACGCTACACTAACAGGCTTCACAGGAGGGCTCAGGTGCTACAGCGATTGTCTGGTATGCATGAGGTCCCAGGCTCCAACCCCAGTACCACAGAACAAATATGCAAACAAGCAAGCAAATAACGTTTAAAAAAAGTTTAAATACAATAGACAAAATCTAAATAGCCAAAAACCAACCTGAGATCAATTATAGAACATGTCTATTGGAATCAGACATGAAATAAGTTACAATGGTTAAGATTACCCCTAACATTTATTTTCAAAAATCAATGTTATAATTTTTAGTTTAGTTTTAGGATATTTGATATTTGGGCTGGGTGCTAGTGCTCATGCCTAGAATCCTAGCTACACAGGAGGCTGATATATGAGAATCGTGGTTCAAAGCCAATCTGGGCAGAAAAGTCCCGGTGAGACTCTCACCTCCAATTAACCACTCAAAAGCTGAAAGTGAGGTTATGGCTCAAACTGGTAGAGTGCTAGCCTTGAGAAAAAGAACTCCGACAGCGCCCAGGCCCTGAGTTCAAGCCCACAACCAAAAAAAAAAAAAACAAACATTCTTTTTTAAAAAAATATTTGGCAGTATAAATGTAACAGACTCTATAGAAGCACACTTGAAATGGATTTTAAAAACATTTGAAACACACCATAGAGAGAATAAGACACTACTATGGCCCCAAGAGAGACATTCTTAGATACTCATTGGTTTAGGACCATGACCCAGTTCTGACCAATGAAATATAAACAAGTCTTCTGATAGGGAAGCTTTTGCTTTCCTAATTAAAATGGGAAGACTCCTGACTACCGGTTCCTAATTTAGAAGGTGGACAAGACGGCTGAGAATACAGCAACTGGCTGCAATCATACGGTAACAAACAGAAAGACAGAAGTCAGCAGACTAAAGATGGTGAAGCAGAAGCCTGGCACAGGTGGCTCACCCCTGCAATCCTAGCTACTCAGGAGGCTGAGAGCTGAGGATCGCAGTTCAAAGCCAGCCCGGGCAGGAAACTCAGTGAGACTTTTATCTTCAATAAACCACCAGAAAACTGGAAGGGCGGTGTGGCTCAAGTGGTAGAGTGCTCGCCTTGAGCTGAAATGCTCAGGGATAGTGCCCAGGCCCAGAGTTCAAGCCCCATGACTGAAAACAAAACAAAACAAAGAAAGATGGTGAAGTATTAAAATAGCCTGAGTCAGTCCTGAGCCATAAAGTTACACTAGTGACAGACCACCTATCCTCATTTGCTCTTTGGAGACAAGATCTCACTATGTGGCCCAGGCTGGCCACTAATTTGTGATCCTCTGACTTTAGCCTCCCAAATGCTAGTATGCCACCATGCTCAGCTTTTGGGCTTCTTGTGAGATAAGAAAAACTCCAATTTGGGGCTGGGAAGGTGGCTCAGTGGTAGAGCGCTTGCCTTGCATGCATGAGGCCCTGGGTTCCATTCCTCAGCACCACATAAGCAAAAAGAAAAAAGCTGGAGGTAGGCGCTGTGGCTCAAGTGGTAGAGTGCTAGCCTTGAGCTGAAGAGCTGAGGGACAGCGCCCAGGCCCAGAGTTCAGGCCCCATGACCGGACCCCCCCCCCCAAAAAAAAAAAGAAAAAGAAAAACTCCAATTCATTTAAACCAGTATAATAGAATTTTTGTTTCTTGTAGCTGAATATATTCTCAATACAACAAAATATACCAAAAGTATAATTTAAAAAAAATCAGGGCTAGGAATGTGGCTTAGTGGTAGAGTGCTTGCCGTGCATGTATGAAGCCCTGGGTTCGATTCCTCAGTATCATATAAACAAAAAAAGCCAGAAGTGGAGCTGTGGCTCAAGCGGTAGAGCACTAGCCTTGAGCAAAAGAAGCTCAGGGACAGTACCCAGGCCCAGAGTTCAAGCCTCAGAACTGGCAAAAATAAATAAGTAAATAAAAATTTAATAAAATCAAATTAGCTGGGCACTGGTGGCTCAAAACTATAATCCTAGTTACTCAAAAGACTGAGATCTGAGAATCACAGTTTGAAGCCAGCCTGGGGAAGAAAAGTCTGTGAAACTCTCATTTCGAATTAAATCACCCCAAAACTGGAAGTGCAGCTATAGCTCAAAGTAGTACAATGCTAGCCTTGAGCAAAAAAACTCAGGGATAGTGCGCAGGCTGAGTTCAAGACCCACAACTGACAATAAATAAGCAAATTAATAAATTACAAAAATCAAATTAGCCCAAAATATTTATTTTATAAATATAAAGGGATTAAAAGAACTAAGTTAATATACTACAACCAAATAAGGTAAGAAGAATGTTTATTATATCAATGTGAAAGCCTACACGTTTTTAGCCGCGGATATATACTTGGTTAAAAAGTCCTTTAGTTTGGCTATGTGCATCATTTCCTTCATGGTGGTGTCTCTGCTTCTCAGGTGCACTAAGCCATTCTCCAAAGTGGACTCTGTGATCAGGATTGTGAAAAGGACACTCATTTCATCATACCTAAGAAAAAATACATGAGCACAATATAAAGCAAATCCTCACGTTGCCAGCTTTTGTTGCTTTATAGTACATGCCATTTTTCAACTCAAAAACTCACAGAGTCATGGCTTGAGAGCTGAACCAAAACTATCTGTCAATTTTGTTTCTGAGTCATCTTCAAAAGTAAGTTTTGAACTTGCATTAAGAACTGAAAAGTCAGGGTTGGGAATGTGGTTTGGCAGTAGAGGGCCTGCCTAGCATGCAAGAAGCCCTGGGGTCAATTCCTCAGTACCACTTACACAGAAAAAGTCAGAAATGGTGCTGTGGCTCAAGTGGTAGAGCATTAGCCTTGAGCAAAAGAAGTTAAGGAACAGTGCCCAGGCCCTGAGTTCAAGCCCCAGGACTGGCAAAAACAACAACGAAAAACAACAAGAACTGAAAAACCACCTAAGATATACACACTGATAACTGTCACAGTAACTGCGGCCTTTGAAACTTGACTAGAATCCAACAACAATATTTTTAGACTACAGCCTTGTAAAATCCTCAATAGTAATGAAGATATGGTATACAACAAATTATGCCAAATCCATGATTCATTTACAACTTGGTATGCTAACTTGCAGTTTCTAGTTCAATAATCATTAACTATACTCATGCTGGTCTTCTGTCTGCTTACCAAATTGAACTATTTCATTAAATGCTCATTTTATTTATAGGGCTCCATCAGAAACTACTATTTATTTATTCCGTTGTTGATTTTCTCTTTTGGGTTATTAATATTTAGTAATTGCACAAAGGGGGAAGGGGCTCATTATTTATTGTCTATTTTTTCCCACTAAAATTAAGCTTTGTAAGATCAAGAAACTTTTGTTTACTACTATACCTAAGTGCAGAAGACACACAAAATTATCTTGACTAGAAAACATGAACATAAAAAGAACAGTATATCTGCTTATGATCACACGAGTCAAAGAGTAAAGTTTTAGAACCTGTGAGAACTGCCAAGTTCCGTCCTTCTTGTTACACATGGATAATTTTCTTCTGCTTAGTCTCAGGAATGACCCACAATGTCAGCAAAAGGCATCCCATTCATGTGCTTCCAACCCTGATTCAACAAATGCATCGTGCACACCTAACTTCAGTCCTGATCAACTGGTAAACTGAGATATTTGCACTTCATGACTGAGTCTTGGAATTATACCAAGCATGCAATCAAATCACCTGCCCAATACTGTTCCTGCTGTAGTAGTTAGCTGAGGGGAGAGGGTCACAGCTTTGTGAAGGGAAACTGAGCACTTACCTTAGTTACTTAATTAGTTTCTACTACCCTAAAGAGACATATCCCCAAACACTCTGATAAGACGGTTTTATTTATTTATTTATTGTTATTTATTTATTTATTTTTTGGTCTGGTTGTGGGGCCTGAACTCTGGGCCTGGGCGCTGTCCCTCAGCTCTTCAGCTCAAGGCTAGCACTCTACCACTTGAGCCACAGTGCCACTTCCGGCTTTTTTCTTTTTTTTTGCTTATGTGGTGCTGAGGAATGGAACCCAGGGCCTCAGGCATGCAAGGCAAGCGCTCTACCACTGAGCCATCTTCCCAGCCCCTGATAAGACGGTTTTAATAAGGCAGATACTTCTTACTTTGAATAGAGCTGATCCATTGAGGAGTGCACAGTCTCCTGATAACCAGGCCACACAGAAATTCCATTTTCTAGTAATTCATTAAACAGCCCTTGACAAACCTGGAAGAAAGTACAAAGACTTCATATATGAAAGAAAAAAGAGCTAATACCTGATTTTTTGTGAAACCAGACATTTTCAATCTCTAAAATAGGCTTCAATTTCTTTAGTTATACAATATTGCTTATAATTTATATACTTTATAAATTTAGTACACTTTCTCTGACATGAAATCAAGTACCGCAAACTGAATGCTAGGTGAAAATCTAGTTTTACACTAAGTAAGAATTTTTACCACCATTATTTGGTCGATTATGGGGCCTGAACTCTGGGCCTGGGCTCTGTCCCTCAGCTCTTCAGCTCAAGGCTAGAGCTCTACCACTTGAGCCACAGTGCCACTTTTGGCTTTTTCTGCTTATGTGGTGCTGAGGAATTGAACCCAGGGCCTCATGCATGCAAGGCAAGTGCTCTACCACTGAGCCACCTTCCCAGCCCCCATGGTTCACTTTTTATGTAGAGTGCTTTGAATACAGTAACTACATTTGCTTACCGGGACTCCCTCTATTCCCATCCCCACCCCCCAAAAAAGTTTCCATTTCCTTGTATTCCTTTTGATAAACAGTACTTTAGTTGCTCAGAGGTGTTATACCTTTGAATTCCTCCCCAAACAGAACCTCCTTTGGTCTGTGTGTAAATGCATTGAGCCCTGTATGTATTATCATGCCCAGTTGTATTTTATTTTAGATCTAGCTTCCATATATGAGAGAAAATATGCATCATTTGTCCCTCCGAGCCTGGCTTACTTCACTTAACATGATTTGTTCTAGAGGTCCATCCATTTCCTGCAAATGACATTATTCTAATGGGTGAGTAAAATTCCATTGTGTACAGATACCACATTTTCTTGATCCACTCAGCTGGTGTAGGGCATCTGGACTGTTTCTATAACTTAGCTCTTGTGAACAGTGCAGCAATGAACATGGATGTGCAAGTGTCTTTATCCTAAGAGCCAGGAACTTTTTTTTTTTTTTTGTCGATCGTGGGGCTTGAATTCTGGGCCTGGGCGCTGTCCCTCAGCTCTTCAGCTCAAGGCTAGTGCTCTACCACTTGAACCACAGTACTGAGCTGCAGCTCAGCACCCACAAGTGAAATAAAAATAAAACTTCAAATGGATATCTTCCCAGTTTGCCTGCACTAACCATTAGAATGAACGCATGACATTTAGACTTGTTTAACTCACCTGTCTTAATTCCACTGTGGAGCCTCTTCCCATATCCAAAGCAACCTTAACGGGGGCTAAAGAAGGGTGAAGTTTAAGGACCTAAGGCAAATAAGGAGGTGGAAAGGGAAGAAAAAAGTTTAATTCATATCTAAAAGGAAAAACAAGACCCTACAGTTTTGTGTCCCAGGCCCATCTCTGAAATAGCAAAGGCACCTTTCTATGAAGGGTGTTCTTCCTTGCAAAGGAGTTCTCTGTGAGCTGGAGAGAATCATAGAGGTAAGCCAACACGCCGCAGTCCAGATCCCCATTTACAGACAGAACGGAAGGAACCACATTTTTCCGCCCATCTCGGCCCTTTACAGAAAAGAACAAAACAGCATGCTTTAGCAGAACTTTTTTTTTTTTTGGTCAGTCATGGGCTTGAACTCTGGGTCTGGGCCCTGTCCCTGCACTCTTCAGCTCAAGGTGAGTGCTCTACCACTTGAGCCACAGCACCACTTCTGCTTTTCTAGTAGTTTATTGGAGATAAGAGTCTCATGGCCTTTCCTGCCTGGGCTGGCTTTGAACTGCGATCCTCAGATCTCAGCTCCCTGAGTAGCTAGGATTACAGGTGTGAGCCACTGGTGCCCGGCTCAGAACTTTCTTTAAATTATGTATCGTAGGGGTTGGAGGTGTGATTCAGATGGTAGAGTGCCAACCAATGAGTAAAAGCTTGAACTCAAGAAACAGAATTTGGACAAAAAATAACATAAATGATGAATCTTAGAATTATACCATCAGAGTACAAAATTATAAATTCACTTTACAAAGCACCTACTTCATGCCAGGTCTGCTAGGCATTGTTCTCTGTCCTCAGGGAGCCCAAGGTTTCAATCAGTGGGACTCAGCTAGCCACATTACAATCACCAGTCTAGCAGCCTAGCCTAGTTAGTTCAGACAGGATGAACTAAAACTCATATGGAGTGGGACCTAGGCATCACTATCTTCTCATTGCTTCCTAAGTGAGACGTTTTGGAAAATGAAACCTTGTTTTTCTTTTTCTTTTTAGACAGGGTCTATTGTAGTCCAGCTGGCCTTGAACTATCAATCATCTTATCTCAGCAGAGTGCTGGGATTACAACCATTCACCATCATGCAAGTAAAATCTAAGTTTGTAGATTACTAATAAATGTCAGGAAAGCCCTGGTGGGGGGGGGGGGAGTTGATGTGCTTACGGAAAGGGGCTTGGGTATAATTTTCTAAAATGTAGGGTTAGGGGCTGGGAAGGTGGCTCAGTGGTAGAGGGCTTGCCTTGCATGCTTGAGGCCCTGGGTTCGATTCCTCCGCACCACATAGGCAAAAAAAAAAAGCCAGAAGTGGCGGTGTGGCTCAAGCGGTAGAGTGCTAGCCTTGAGCTAAAGAGCTGAGGGACAGCGCCCAGGCCCAGAGTTCAGGCCCCACAACCAACCAAAAAAAACAAAAATTCAAGTTTTACACAGTAATACTTCTACTACCATTCTCTTTCTTTCCATTATCATTGTACGAACTATAGATGGTGCAATCCTAATCTACAAATCCAAAGATTGCAAATTCCAAAAGTTTTAAGCACCAACATGAGACCACCGGTGGAAAATTTCACTGACATCAGGTGCTAGGTCCAAATCAAACACAGGCACACTGAAAATATTCTATAAAATCGCCTGCAAGTTACACGAACATCCGCTGAGAACGCTCAGCAAGGGGGCTGCAGGACAGAGTAGCATGTCCAGGGTCAGGCTTTCTCGCTAGCCTCTTTCTCCTTCCTACTCCTGGGCCAAATATCCATCAGGAGGAGGGGAGAGGGCTGGCGTATCCAGGGCTTGTGGTAGGGAGTGTAGTTACATGCAATAAATGAAAATGAAGTAAATACACTGAAGATACTCAGAGCCAGGTTTCTTATCATCAAAGAAAAGAATTATAAATGTGAAAAGAAGAAAAGCACTGACATGCAATTTGAGGAACATGTGTGAACCCCTAAATTCTAACAGATCTAGACATGAGGTCGGTATGTAAATGTGTATGTAAGTAATCATCTACAGTGTTTCCCAGTTGTGTCCACAAGAGGGCTCAGAAGCAATGATGTCCATTATAAGGAGTGTACCTCACAGTTAAGAATCTCAAGTTTTAAATACAATTTTCCTTTAATGGCAGTCAAGATTCCTTGGAGAATTGGTTGACTCCACAGCTAGATCAAGAAAATGTAGAATGATCTTCAGACAATCTGCCGGTATAAAAAATAAGGAGTGTAGGTGGACAGAATGGCTGGAGATATGGCAATAGGTAAGTGGCAAAGTCTAGGCCAACCCAAGGATCAAGAGCAACAACATAGTAAGAGATCTGTGACACTGTGAGAAAACAGGAACCTGTGAGGGCATACCAATATACATTTTCAAAAAGATGTGTTTTCCTTCATACGGGGAAGCTAGACCTAATTTATAAATATACAAGAGGTAGGATGCCAGTGGCTCAGGCCTGTAATCCTGGCTACTTAGGAGGCTGAGATCTGAGGATCTTGGTTCCAAGCCAGCCTGGTCAGAAAAGTCCCCATGAGACTCTAGACTCTTTTTTTTTTTTTGGGTCCGGTGGTGGGGCCTGAACTCTGGGCCTGGGCACTGTCCCTCAGCTCTTCAGCTCAAGGCTAGCGCTCTACCACTTGAGCCACAGCACCACTTCCGGCTTTTTTCTTTTTGCTTATGGGGTGCTGAGGAATCGAACCCAGGGCCTCGAGTATGCAAGGCAAGCGCTCTACCACTGAGCCACCTTCCCAGCCTGAGACTCTAGACTCTTATCTCCAATGATCTACTAAAAAAAAAAGCTGGAAGTGATGCTGTGGTTCAGGACAATACCCAGGTCCCAAATTCAAGCCCCTGTGCTTGACAGCACCTACTTATTTGGTCAAGAATCACTATAGATGCTACAAACAGAAAATCAAGTTAGTGACCAAAGTTCTTTAGGCATTTACTTATGTTCATTATTGAATATAAACATGTATTAGCTTCATGCTGAAGAACTCTGCCTTAACCACAGGAGCCAACTTAGCCCCAGGAAGAATAGACTGATGCCATTAGGCTCCTAATGTGGCGCCAAGGATGGGCAGCATTACTTCTTGTCATGCAAATCATGAGGGAATACCAGACAAATCCATGCCAAGGGGCCATGAACAAAGCAACTGCCTGTATTCTTCCCAAGTGTTTTAGCCATGAAGGACAGGAGAGACAAAAGGAAGTCTTCACTGGAAGGAGGCGAGGAACATGACAACTCCACTAAATATACCACCCGGGATTGGATCCTGGACCTAAAATGGTATTATGGGATAATTAGTTACATCTCAAGGGTTTTAGGAAAAGAGTGGGATTCTGTGAATTTTCTCCCTTTGATGCTTGTAGAGCGGTTATGTGGATGTGTATCACTTGAAAAACACACCTTGAAGTATTAACTGGTTGTGAAACACTGTGTGTGCAATTATTCTCAAGTGGTTCAGAGAATGTGGGTGAAGAACCCAGGAGTTTGAGGTAAAACATACGTGTAATTTAGACATATTTTCAGGATACGTGTGCAAAAGTTCTTGATCTCCTAGATTCCACAGAGTCTCTACTGGCTCCTTTCCCCAGGGAAAATTGTAGTAAAGTCTGCTTCCTTTCCGTCCCTCTTCATCCTGACAATCACTGCTGCTGAAGTTAGATGGACTCATGGCAAACTGGAAAAGAAAGTTTTCATTTGCCTTGCTAATTTATTAAAACTTATTTCTCATCTATCTCATAATTAGTCCTAAGAATTAGAGCTTCTGTGAGGTCATTTGTTATTTGTGGGTCTTCCTTTTAGAATTAAAGTTGCCTGAAACTTTTTATTCAACACTGGACTGAAACTAGGCAAGTCTTAAATAAAAATCATGATATTTACTATGTATAAGTGAGTCTATTGCCAACAAACTGGCTTTGAATCTGAAACAAGTCTTAAGAAAAACTTGTTACAGCTGTTTAGCTGAGACTGAGTATGGGCTGGGAAGGTGGCTCAGTGGTAGAGCGCTTGCCTTGCATGCCTGAGGCCCTGGGTTCGAGTCCTCAGCACCACATAAGCAAAAAGAAAAAAGCCGGAAGTGGTGCTGTGCTGAGACTGAGTAGTAAGAGGGGAAGTTGCACAGGAACAAATGGAATAAAATATTGCCAGGTACCTGCCTATAATCCTAACTGCTCAGGAGACTGAGGTCTGAGGATTACAGTTTGAAGCCAGTCTAAATAGGAAAGTCTGTGAGAGTCATGTCTAATTAACTATTAAAGAGCTGGAAGTGGAGGTATTGCTCAAGTGGTAGAGCACCAGCCTTGAGCAAAAAAGCTAAAGGACAGTGCCTAGGCCCTGAGTTCAAGCCCCTCTACTGGTACATGCCACATGCGCATGTACCGGTACACACACACACACACACACACACACACACACACACACACACACACACACACACACACACACACACACACACACACACACACTGGTGATTCACACCTGTAATCCTAGCTATTCAGAAGGCCAAGATCTGAGGATTATGGTTGGAAGCTAGTACAGGCATTAGCCTTGAGCACAAAAGCTCAAGGCCAGCACCCAAGCCCTATTCAAGCCCTGGGAATGGTGAAGAAGAAGGTGCTATCATCACATAGTCCTCACCCTTCTGTCCATGATTTTTTTGTGGGCTTTCCTTTTAGTGAAGGTGAAGTTTGAGGATTTTCTGTTGTTGTTTTTTTCTGGTTAGTCATGAGGCTTGAACTCAGGGCCTGGGCACTGTCCCTGAGCTTTTTTAAGGCTAGCACTCTATCACTTTGAGCCACAGCTTCATTTCTGGTTTTATGATGGTTACTTGGAGATAAGAGTCTCACGGACTTTCCTGCCCAGGCTGGCACCAAACTGCCATCCTACTCAGCCTCCAGAGTAGCTAGGATTTCAGGTACGAAATCTCAGCTAAGCTTGAGATTTTTTAAGAATTGGAAAAAGGCCAGGCATCAGTATGACAAAAATGCTGACTTCACACTTCGTTTCAGTATAAAACCATTTTGATTAACAAAGAGACCAAGGATGTAGCAGCAAAATCTGAGACTGTAGGAGTGGGCAACATTCCAACTCTATTCTACCTTGAGCAGCAAAAAGCATCTGAGTTTCATAAGATTTTATCAAAGTAACCCTGTTATCTGGACAAAAAAAAAATCCCCTCTGGCTGTGGTGGCTCACACCAGTAATTCCAGCTACTGAGGAGGATGAAATCTGAGGATTGAGGTTCAAAGCCAGCCAGGTAAGAAAGTTCTCGGGACTCATCTCCAATTAACCACGAGAAAACCAGAAGTGGAGCTGTGGCTCAAAGTGGTAGAGCACTAGGCTTGCACAAAAAACCTCAGGGACAGTGTCCAGACCCTGAGTGCAAGTCCCATGACAGACCAAAAAAAAAAAAATCCTCTTTGTACTTGATTTATTATAGCTAGTTCTTACACATGCAGTAAAGCCGTAGGAAGGGCTCAGTGATAGAGTGACACCAGGCCTGCTCTCTAGGGACAACACACACACACACACACACACACACACACACACACACACGAACACCAAATCAAATTTGATTTATAAAGTGTGGCCTGAAGTCTCAGCCTGGGCGCTGTCCCTCAGCTCTTCAGCTCAAGGCAAGTGCTCTACCACTTGAGCCACAGTGCCACTTCTGGTTTTCAGAGTGCCTTCTTGGAAATCAGTCTCACAGACTTTCAGCCCAGGTTGGCTTTAACCCCATCCTCATGAGTAGTTAGGATTGCAGGTGTGAGCCAACAGCGCCCAGCTATCTAATGATTCTTAAAGTTATTATTGTAGTACCTTTCTCCACCATAGGAGCCGATGACGCAACCAGAAATCAAGCCACTGGCTTGCAGTCCTTGGGGGAGTAAACCATACCAGTGACGCTTCGGTCTTCTCACCAATTCTTTGGAAGATGAAATAGGTCAGAAAGTTAGTTTATTTGGAAGTTGTATAATCTAGCCCAATGTAGAAATGACTACTTTACTCTAAGACTGGGTGATTTGTTACTTTTGGGTTTTTTTTGCCAGTCCTGGGGCTTGAACTCAGGGCCTGGGCACCGTCCCTGAGCTTCTCCTAAGCCACATTCCCAGCCCATTTTGTACCTTTTAACACCATTAAGGATCTGCTTAGTGTCAGAAACAGGATGAAAGCACACTCCAATCTGAGCAAGGCCATAAGGTAGCCTTCTGTTTACCAGATCCAGGCAATTAACATAGTGCTCCAAGGCACCTGCCAAAAGACAAATCAATCATTGTATAAATCTGTCCCATAGATTGGAACTGTTTTTGTCAATCTACACACATACTACTAGTATATTAATGTTGAGGCTGAGCATGAGGGTACATGCTGGTCACCCAGCCTGCCTGCAGGAAGGCTGAGTTGGAGGATGTCCAGATCCAGGCCAGCCTGGGAGACACAGTGAGACCCGGTCTCAACAAACAAACAGAAATAACGTTAACATAGTAGCAAAGAGCTAATATAGGCAGACTTTAATTGCATGGTTTCCCCATGACTTTTTTTTCTCTGTTTGAATTCTGGGCCTGCTACTGTCTCTGAGCTTTCATGCTCAGGGCTAGCAAACTCTCAGCCGCCTGAATAGGTAGGATTACAGGTGTGAGCCACCAATGCCTTGGCCCTCATAACTTTTAGCTTCAAGATTTTAAAATCTATACTAATGTTCAAAGAACAGTACAACAGACACTTGTATATAATAAATGTTGAGACTAAACTTAACCATCAACATCTGTCATACTTTCTCTGATGCCTAAACACTTCAGTATTTATATTCTGAAACCAAACAATATGCTCTGAAACCAAACAATATGCTCTGTATACTATTGCACCATAAAATTAACTGTAATTCCATAATATCTAACACAATTGATATTTTATCTGCTCCAACTATCATCCATAAAATACCATCATTTTGCTCATGAAATTTAAGTCTATGCACTTCTGCTTTTGTGCCAGTCCTGGATCTTGAACTCAGGGCCTAGGCACTGTCCCTGAGCTTTTGTACTCAAGGCTAGTGCTCTACCACTTGGGTCATAGCTCCACTTCCAGCATGTTTTGGTACTGGAGTTTCCTGCCCAGGCTAGCTTCAAACTGTGATCCTCAAATCTCAGCCTCCTGAGTGGTGAGGATTATAGGCATGAGCCACCAGCACCAGTTCTTATGCACTGCATTTTGATTAGGTCTGTTCAATCTCTTAACTAAGAACATTAATGGACTCCTTCCCCATCAACTTTGCTTTCAATGATACTGACTTGTTTTTCTGAGATGGAGTCTAGTGAACTATACATCCCAGACTATAATCTTCCTATCTCTGTCTCTGTAATGTTCAGATTCTAGCCACATCCTTCCACACCTGGCCCACTGACATACTCTTGATTTGAGTCCAGACTAATCACCAATCATCTTACACCTGGGATTGTCTGGACCCTTGATTTATTGTGAGCTAATTATTGTTAGCAGGGATAAATGGTTTATGTGTTTATCTTCCTGCCTGATAATGGGACTCAGTACCAAATTATTCCTCCACTGGCAAACCAGATTTGAGTACATCACAGTAGTATTTGCTCCCCAACAATATCCTGCTCCCCTACAATCTTTCTTTTTTTTGCCAGTTGTGGGGCCTGAACTCTGGTCCTAGGCACTGTCCCTCAGCTCTTCAGCTTAAGCTAGCACTTTACTACTTGAGCCACAGTGCCACTTCTGTTTTTTTCTGCTTATGTGGTGCTGAGGAACCGAACCCAGGGCCTCATGCTTGCCAGGCAAGCACTCTACCACTGAGCCACCTTCCCAGCTACAATTCTTTTTTTTTTTTTTGGTCGGCCGTGGGGCTTGAACTCTGGGCCTGGGCGCTGTCCTTCAGCTCTTCAGCTCAAGGCGAGCACTCTACCACCTGAGCTACAGCACCACTTCCTCCCCTATAATCTTTCATCCAATATTTTAGGATCCATTGACGACCCATACTTGAGTCAGCTATACTAGTTGTAAAACTGTAAAGTGGTGCTTCTTCTATTTTTCCTTCTACATCGGTTGAATAGCTTCTGAAAAAATGTAACTTTCTCTGCACTTTCTTCTCCACCCTTTTACCTCAAGTACTTTTTTTTTTGTCGGTCGTGGGGCTTGAACTCTGGGCTTGGGCACTGTCCCTGCGCTCTTCAGCTCAAGGTGAGTGCTCTACCTCTTGAGCCACAGGGCCACTTCCGGTTTTCTAGTGGTTTATTGGAGATCAGAGTCCTATAGACTTTTCTGCCTGGGCTGGCTTTGAACCGTGATCCTCAGATCTCAGCCTCCTGAGTAGCTAGGATTACAGGCGTGAGTCACTGGTGCCCGGCTTACTTGTTTCTTTTTAGTGAACATTATGGACTCTTAGTGTGTGATATCACTTTTTATCTTTATGTTCATTTTGTGTCAAATCTAGCCAGTGGTAGCCTATTATTGGCAGCATCTGTGTCACTTTGTATCTCGCTAGTCTTCAAGTAATTCTTTGCTTTCTAGCACTACGTAGTGTTGCAAACTTACCTTGAACTTTCCCTGCCCCAAACCTGGAATCGGCATTTCTCCAAGCACTGGTTCACTTTAGAAACCAAGATCTGGGAACCAGGTGCTCCAATGCTCATGAGTGTCATTGCTTCTATGCCCTCTCGATAAAGAAAGTTTGCAAAAAAGTTTAAAGTTGTCAGTTCATACTGATACAAGTGCACTTTGGTTATTACAATTTTCCCTTGTTTTGTTTTTTTGTCGGTCATGGGGCTTGAACTCTGGGCTTGTGCGATGTCCTTGAGCTCTTCAGCTCAAGGCAAGAGCTCTACCACTTGAGCCACAGCACCACTTCTGGTTTATTGAAGAGTCTCATGAACTTTCCTGCCCGGGCTGGCTTTCAACGGAGATCCTCAGATCTCAGCCTCCTGAGTAGCTAGGATTACAGGCATGAGCCACCGGCGCCCGGCTAATTTTCCCTTGTTTTATGTATGTCATGGAGCTTGAACTCTGGGCCTGAGTGCTATCCCTTAGCTCTTCAGCTCAAGGCTAGAGAGCTCTACCACCTGAGTCACAGTGCCACTTCCAGGTTTCTAGTGGTTAATTGGAGATAAGAGTCTCATGGACTTTCCTGCCTGGGCTGGCTTTGAACTGTGATCTCACATCCCCACCTCCTGAGTAGCTAGAATTACAGGCATGAGCCATGGGTGCCGGGCTTGTTATTTTGATATTTCTTCCTCCTTTTCATCATAAGGAAAAAAAATCTTGATTCTTTTAACATTAGCCTAGCTATATTTACTTTATCCTATAATATATAGATATAGATTATTCCACATTTGACTTAGAATAAATCAAGGAAAAAAGTCTTCATCTACTTAAGCTACATTACTGAGTGACAGTCATGTGTTACTTGATTTGAGTAGACTATAGATTGTCTATGTGAGAAAGTCTGGCCAAAAAAAAATTTTTTTAGCCTGTTTAAAGAAAGGGAAGCTACCAAGGGAACAAGATACACTGAGGAGCCAAGATTTGGGGAGTACAGAGAAGTGAACAGACTCTAAACTGAGATCACTGATGTGTCCAAGAATGTTGACGAGGAAAAGGTCTAATATATAAGCAGTCACAGATATAAGAGGATGATGTGGATGATGCAATAACTGTTTTTGGAAACAGAATAACTACAAATTCTTACAAAGCTCTTCATAAAGAGAGGCTGTCCGAACAGTCCAAACCTGCGCCAGAAGAGAAGAGCACTAACAATAGAAAAAGGAAAGATTGATAACTACACTAAACACAGTAGACACCCAAAGGATTTGGCAATTTGGCAATTTCTAAAGGCAAGAAAATGTATGTCACATGAAGAGACGCTTGAATGTGTATTTAAAAGACAAGAAAATAAGAACTAAGAAAACAAGAGCTAAGTCCTATTTTCTAAGTGTGTAATTATGAGGATAGTGATTTCACTTATCAGATGGGAAAGGAAAGATCAGTGTGGGGATGTGCTCAATGAGCAGGCAATGATTTAACACCCCCCCCAAGGTAAAGATTCCATGGCATAAAGAATCAGAAATCAAAATTACCACATTTTTACCAGATTTTTTTTTTTAGTGAGCTTTATTTCATTAAGGAAATCTTTAAAGGCTACAGTGGAAACATTAACTTTCACAAGTTTAGACGTTTTGGGTGTTTTCCATTACTCTACTGTACCAAAATGGCAAAGGCAGCATTTCTCAAAGAGGAGAGAGACCCTGTGGCAGCCAGTATGTCCTATCAAGAACTTCAGTGAATTTTCTTTTTGCTTATGTGGTGCTGAGGAATCGAACCCAGGGTTTTGAGCATGCAAGGCAAGAGCTCTACCACTGAGCCACCTTCTCAGCCCTCAGTGAATTTTCTTTAATGATCTCTGCATTGTTGTATTTGACTGTAAATGCTAATGATGCCCTACATATTACTGTGAATTCACCCTAGAACTACCAATATCCAATAATTCCTGCGCTCAGGAGGTTGAGGCTGGAGGATCCTTAGTTAAGAGGCCAGGGGGGATACATACTCAGAGCCTATCTTTTAAAAAAAAGAAAAATCTATAAAACTTGACCAAGTCTCATTAGTTAAAAAAACAAAACAAAAAAAATTTACCTAAAGGGTCAAACAGGTTGTAGATCAGTTCTCAGTAAGAAAAACGGAGGGGTAGGGGGATAATTTTTCTTTTTGCTGTGGAATAACGTTAGCCCTTGATTCACCATATTATGTCAAACTGAAGCTTAACCACGGGAGTACTGGTGGACGTTTTGGAATCAATGAACAAATGGTTCAAGCACGTGATCTGACTCGACGTCCAATCCTAGGGTTGTTCAACTGGACGCTAGGGTGCTACGGGTTACTCCGTGAAACTGACAGCTTTACGGCTCCCTCCGGACAGCAGCGATTGTTATGGACTACTTACTAATATACTGGCTAGATTCAAAAGATGGCACCAGTTCTTTGCACGGGAGTAAAGGGTCAATTGCAATCCCCAAACCTGCGCGACAAGGCCTTCCACGCCCCACGCCCCCCACCTGTTTTCGGAAGCTTAAAAATTGGTGAAGAACCGTACCGTGAAGAAGACTCTCCCGCAGTTTGCCTGAAGTTCTTACTAAGTTCTCAAGACACGCTACTAGCTGCTCCTTGCTCAGATCTCTGTCTTGCAAGATCTCTCGCAGGGCTTCGGCGGGGACGAGCCCGAAGGCCGGGTCCCCGGGCGCCGTCGGGCCAGGCTGGTGGTGGAGGGCGTCCACCGCGAAGACCTGCTCCCGGAACGCCGCCAGCGAGGCCCACCATTCCGCCGCCAGGTTCTTGCGCAGCTCGACGCCCAGAGGTCCGAAGCCGGGGTGGCAGCCGCTCAGGAGAGAGTCGCGGCTAGGCGGCGGCTGGCTCCCCCGGAGGAAGTGCCTCTTCTGACAGAGCTCCAGCAGCGGCTCGGCCCGCGCCTCGGCGTCCCCGGCGTCCCCGAGCGCCTCGGCGTGCGGGCCCAGCCGCTCTTCCAACGAACACCTTTCCGACCACCGGTCCGGCTGCCCCTCGTCCACTCGGCCCCCAAACCCGGAGAACAGACACCTGAAGATCTTCTGGCAGACCCTGATGGCTGCCCCTGAGCGCATCTCCTCCGAGTCACAGAGCGCCGCGCTCCATCCACCCGCCGCGCACACGCGCACGCACACGCACACAACCGCTACAACTGCAGACGACCGGCCCGCGGCGCACGCGTGCGGCGGAAGTGGGCGAGCGTGTCGCTGGTCCCACGCCCCCGGAAGTGCGCCACAACCTCTAGTCCGGCCCTCCCCGAAGTGCTCCACCCCCGGGGGCGGGGCGTCGCTAACCGACGTCTCCGGGGCGCTCCAGCCCCGCCCCAGCGGCCCCCCCCCCGCCGTGCGGCTGACCGCTGACCGGCTGCTCCTCACCGGAAGCCACGAGCCCTTCCCACCGCCTCGGTCACTACACTTCCCTAGCCGCGCTGTGTTTTAATTTCTTTGTAACCCAGAAAAACTAGCTCTGTGCCACCACCTTGTGCACAACTGCTCTGTGTTAGACGTCTACAGAAACCAGGCTGGGTGGTGAAGTCGGAGCCTGGAGCCTGCGGGCGCCCCGGGGCCGGCAGCCTCCTCTCCCCGCCCAGGCCAACTGATCTCGGTAAGATAGCAGGCTCGGTAGAACCAGCCAGACTTCGGACTTCTCGTGGCCATTGAATCGTATAAACACCACTGGAAATGCTTTATTGTGGACCTGTGGAACAAGCCTAACAGCCTAACAAGTCATCCTGTCAAGTGCACGCGAGGATTAGCGAGTTTTGGGTAGGCGTACCAAGATACAACTACAATGCCAATGCCAAGTGTGTCTTCCACTCAAGAATCCACACCAGACAAGGTCTCTACGCAAATAAATAAAGGAGAGAATGGGGAGAAAAATCACATTTATTAGTTAAAGACAACCACAGGCTGGACACAACACACATGCTAAAAAGTGGACTGTCTTAAAACTTCAAAGGTAAATAGGTATATTTTTCCACAGCCCCACAGTCATTTTCATAAATATTTACAAATTAAAAGGCCCACATTAAGACATTGAACAGTAAAATACGTAATAAATGCTCCGATCTATCCCAAAACATTCTAAAAATCATGGATTTGATTAACCGTACCATTGAAAACCACTCAGGTTAACAGACTGAATCAGTTTTCAACGGATTAGCCCTAGAAACATCACTCCCTATATATAACCAGGTCCCCAGCCAACATAATCTAATTTGCTTTACATTTAGGTAAGGCATTCCCATCAAAGCTTCTGTTTAAAACCCAGAATCTAGTCTCTGGAAGACTTCCCTTGTCCTGGCAAAACATACCCAACTCTTGGAGAAGGCATTCAGTTACTTCTAGCCAACACTTCAGAATAAGCTATTTGTGGGCCAAAGTTAAATCTAAAGCTATCCCCTGGACCTTTCTACCAAAGTTAAACCTAACATGAAGACCTATTTATACTGTACTCACTGTGCTTTTGGTTACCTTCTGATTAACCACTTTCATCTTTTTCTCCCCTTTGTATTAACAAGTATGACTAGACCTTACAGTTTGAAGACCTCTAGAATTCCCTGAATTATTGTGAAGACATTCATGACTCCAAAGGTATGACGTTAAGTGCCCTGGGAATCTCTGAAGATTTACAAGTAACCTGCACTAAGGACATTGTGCAAATTGTTAGTTGAGCCTCAAACTTAGCTTGTGGGCTAAAGCAACAGTCATTTGTTCATTTTGGCAGTTCATTAGATAGCCAAGAACATGAGTAAAATCGTTTTGAAAAAGTTATTTGAAGCTCTTTAAATTATAAATTTTGCAAAAAGGAACAGTCATCCATGTTGTCACTATATAGCTGATTATTTTCCCATCCTACTAGATTTCATTTAATCTTTCTAATATACAGAAAATAGGCTTACACTAAATGACTTCCCTGATGGTGAAAGCTGCTGACAAAGCATTTATGCAGTTTAGCCTAGAACTACAAATTTATCTAAGTCGGTCTTCCTAAATTTGCACCCTATAAGATCATTTAAGGGGCCTTCTAATTTCTCTAACCCCAAATCCAAGAATGGAAAGCACAGTCACTTCAGTTTTTATGACAAAAACAAAAAAACAAAACAACCCCCCCCCAAAACCCAAACCAAAACCATACCATCTTTAAGTTTTACAAGACATTTGTAAAAAGAAAGTACAATTTCCACTTAATTCAGTCTTCAAATATCTTTTATTGGAAGGCCATGCATTGCCTTCATTTATTGTATTTCAAATCACTGTACAGTTACTTTTGTGAAAACACTGCCTGCATTTTCTAGTACAAAAAAAACCTAAAAATTGTTTCAGGAATGTAGAGAAATATCCAACTTAAATAGCGAAAAAGTGCACCATAATTACTGCTGCACTGCAGTCATTTCTGCATTTCCCATGTTTCTTAAATAACTATCTTGTCTGATAACACACAATATAAAGAGCAATTATGAAAAACAGACATTTACATATACTTCTAAAGTCTTATTGAGAATATCCTGTTGGCATTGGATAGCCAATCATAGGCGCAGCCGCAGTAGCAGGATACGCATATGCCTGTTGGTTCATACCATTGTGCATGTTTGGAACATTACTTCCGTATTGCTGAGTGCTATCATAACCATTCTGGTAAGTCCCTGTTGGATTACCAGTCCTAAAACTGGTCTGTATACCAGCAGACACAAAATTACTTCCAAAGCTCCCATTGGTGTAATTTGCAGCACTGTAAACACCATTCTGAGTTTTTGCCCCAAAATCTCTCTTAAGCAGACTAGAGTAACCTCTGTCATAATTTTCCCTGTCTCTAAAGGTATTAAATCCACCCCTTTTGCCCGCAGAGTATCTGTCCCGGCGGTCATCCTTCATGCCTCCTCTACCCCTGGAACGACCTGTCAAAAAAAAATAAACAAATAAAAGGAATGGCAAAGTGTTCAGTTTGGTCTATTGCACACTCATGGTTAACACAAAAGGAGTGAAGGGTTTTCAATTTCTCAACTTACGTTTCATAATGGGAAGATCTGTCTTACCCTCTAAGATTCCATTAAAATTAGATTTGCAAATAGTGATGCTGTGACAGTAAAACTACCAACATGTCATATTGAAGGTTCATCTTACCTGAACCTCTGTCTTCGACCAACTGAAGCAACTTGGGATTAATTGCTTGATTAGCTTCACGAAGCACAGAGATAAGGTCGCTCACTTGCTTTATGTTATTAGGTGTAAAGAAAGTGTATGCTGTGCCTGTTTTGGTACTGCGAGCAGTTCTTCCAATTCGATGAATATAATCCTCTGAGGAGTTAGGGTAGTCATAATTGATGACAAATTTCACATCTTCCACATCTGTAAGGTGTTGCAGTGTGGCAAAATAGCAATGTACGAAGTTTTGCACACCACAACAGCCAGACCAAAAATAAAAAGTTAGACAATTGTATTCCCAAGAAGGTATGGGCTGCAAAAAATACAGTTAAAATGGTTATCCATTCCCTGTAGGAATACCATTGAGGTTGAAGGAAAAAAAGAAAAAGCACATGTCATCTGTTTAAATCATCACCCACCCAAGGGATAAGACCTGTCAAAGGGAATGTGTATTCTCCCTAGCACATTCCCAAACCAGCAAGTCCCCTTACAGATCATCAAGTGACATCTGAATGCTTCTGCGCAGTAGGGCCACTTAAAAGTGTCACAGCAACCTCTTCATGTGCTCATTTTGAGGACCTTTAAACAAAAAGGTACAAGGTCCTTTGCATTACACATTTATCAGAAGTTCAAAATTCTGGCCACACTGCTTGTCTTGCCAAGACCTTACAACTGCAGCTGCAAGAAAACATACCTGTCCCCCAAAAGTTGTTTTTATGCACTGTGTCTCGTCTAGGCAAGCGCTTCCAAGAAGCCAGGATTCACTTGAGAATGTGTCTCTCTCTGGCAGGTCTCGACATGACGACTACTGTGTAGTAGGTGAGGGAGGATCTTTCAAAGCACTGCTTTCTTTTCCCACTGACTTAAGCGTGAGAAGTTGCTCCTGCTCTAGGTCTCATGTGCCAGTACTCACCAATTTGTAAAAGGCTTAGTACCTTTTAAAGCTGCTCTCTCCATTTCAAACTTGAACAAAAATTTCACTGAACATTGAAGTTTGGAAATATTTCTTCGACATTTCAGCAAACTCACTGAAACTCAAAGACCCACAGATCACAGTAAACAGTTTGAAACAATGCTGTACCATGGCAATCATGCAAAGCATGGGACAGAAGAAATACCACGGCAGTGAACTGTGAGGGTAACTTCCATTTTTTCCCTCGGAGAGAACAGTTTATAGGGCAGAGGTGGTATGTTCTGCCCTTTGAAGATTACTGGCACACTTTCAGCTTTTCACCTCTCTAATCGACTGGAAGCAGCCAGCCGATCACTAGTCCTCCATCCCCCTCGAGTCCTCCGATTGTCATGCCTAGGCCTTGCCACAAAGACTGCACCTTTATGTGAAAAAAACTTGGGAAAAAATGCAGGTTAAAGAAAGCAATAAACTTTCTTTAAAAAAAAACTAGAGATCTTCTGGGAAAGCAAGTCATGAATGGGAGTTTGTACTAACCTAGCCCTCTGGAGGCCACATCTGTAGCAATCAGAATAGGAGCTTTTCCATGTTTGAATTCTACAAAGGAAGGCATATGACCATTATTAGGAGCAGGAAAATCCTAAATTAGCAGCAAAAAAATTTCTTTACTTGAAATACTTACCATTTAGAACCCAGTCACGCTCCTGTTGACTTTTGTCACCATGGATACCCATGGCAGGCCACCTAAATCAAAAAGTTGTCTTAGCAGGCTCACATTTACTAAAGATTTGGACAGATTCTATTAATTCTGGCCATCAATCACTTCAAGTATTTTGTGTGTAGTTTTACTTCTATCAGATGACTCCTATAAATGAAAACTCACTTCTTTTTTTAGTCTCTGTCCCTGAGCAATTCAGCTCAAGCCTAGAGCTCTACCACTTGAGCCACAGTGCCATTTCCGGTCTTCTAGTGGTTTACTGGAGATTAAGAGTCTCAGACTTTACTGGCTGGGCTAGCTTTGGACCGCAATCCTCAGATCTCAGCCTCCTGAGTAGCTAGGATTTACATGCGTGAGCCAGCAGCACCCAGCTGAAACTCATTATCTTCTAAGTTTTGTCTCCCTCTCCTAAACTCTGCTTCAATAGAGGATGCCCACATACCCATCTCTCCTCATCTTTCTGGTAAGCTCATCACATCTTCTTTTGGTTTCAACAAAAACAATGGTTTTATTCTCCTTCTCGCTCATGATCTCTTCCATTAGACGAATAAGTCTAAAGATAAAAGAAAGTTTTAAAATTTACTGACATTAGTTAAATTCAATGTATATGGAAACAGCTACTAAGCCACTAATCAGGCAATCCTTCCTTTGTTTCTGTTAGTACACCATGAGATGTTTCCTTTTTCTACAGAAATCCTATAAATACTAATGGGGCTATTAATCTGAATTTAACGGATTAAGATTGGCAGGACCCCCTGCCCCCATACACACAGGGATCAAACCTGGGGCCTTGAACAAGCTAGGCAAGTACATCAACAGCCCCAACAGATTGAACATATTCAATAAGGTAACATATGAAACTGTGACTTCCCTTACATAAGCACGGCTAAGAGTTCATATGACTTATACTCACTTTTCATCCTTCTCTACATCATGACATACATCCACAATCTGAAGAATGTTGTGATTTGCACTCAGTTCTAGTGCACCAATGTTTATATGAATGTAGTCTTTCAGGAAATCTTCAGCAAGCTGTCTTACTTCTTTTGGCCAAGTCGCACTCCACATTAGGGTTTGTCTATCAGGCTGAATTATTTGGGGAGAAATTTAGAGCATGCTCTTAAGTGTAAATTTAGAATTGAGTGAAAAAATAATAATGGCTTACTCTTATCTGATCCACAATCTTCCTTATTTGGGGTTCAAAACCCATATCAAGCATTCTATCTGCTTCATCAAGGACAAGGTAAGTTGTTCTTCTCAGATTGGTTTTCCCACACTCTAAAAAGTCAATCAGTCTTCCAGGTGTTGCAATACAGATTTCCACACCTTCAATTAAACACACAAATTTAATTGTAATACGCAGAACACTTTCAACTCTGTTAAGTGAATGCTAAGATAAATAGAGCCAGGCAATGGTGGCGTATGCCTATAACACAGCCTATCCACGAGGATGAGATCTAAGGAACATGATTTGAAACTATCTATGGTTTATAGCTACCTATCTTACAACAAAATATCTTGAGATCGTAAGATTCTGTTTTAGCACCAAAAAAAAATTAAAAAAAAAAAGGAAAGCTGTAATACTTTTATTAATGAGAAACAGAACCTTTTATACCACATACCTCTCTCCAAATCACGTATTTGTGGTCCCTTGGGAGCACCACCATAGATGCAAGTAGACTTTAAACGACAAGCTCTACAGTATTCAGCAGCTACTTGTTGCACCTGCTGGGCCAGTTCTCGAGTTGGTGCCAGCACCAAACACTGCAAAAAAGAACAGCCTTTCATATACACTTGAAAACAAGTATTTCCCCCCCAACTCCTCCATGTGTATGTGTTGGCAATTGAACCTAGTTACTTATATCAACAGATCTTTTCAATTATACAAAACCCAGAGCAGCTCCAGGTTAAGAGTGAAAACATTAATCTCTACATAAAAGCACCATCAACAATTACATGTTTTACTGTGTATTCTAAAAATTCTTAAATACATACTTACAATAGGCCCATCACCTCTTTCTAGGAATGGCTGATGATTGATGTGAACGATGGCAGGCAGCAAATACTATTGGGAAGGAAGTGGGCCAAACAGAAGTTATTAGAATGACTGCTCATGATAACTTTAATCCCCATTTCATCTTCCCTTAGCTTTAATCACTCAGGAACCACACAGTTCTCTAAACTTACAGACAACGTTTTCCCAGATCCAGTCTGTGCTACTCCAACCATGTCCAATCCACTAAGAGCAACTGGCCATCCCTGAGCTTGAATAGCAGTGGGTTCAGTAAAGTTCTGCCTTGCAATCACATCCATGACATTTGCTGTAATAATTAACAGTTTCAGTGAGTATTTGCAATGCCAAGAAAGAAAAGAACAGATGAATGAGGGTGGAATTGCAAATTAGCACTTACCAGGGAAATTTGCTTCATAGAAATTCAGAACTGGTTTTGGACAGTTATGACCTCTCACTGTAACTTCCTTGCTTCTTCTGTATGTCTCTACCTCTTGCTGCAAAACAATTGTTTTATATATGCACTGTCTGCACAGGGCACAAGAGCACATGATTACACCCTGGCAACCCCGGTATATTCTGAAAGTGGCCTTCCTTTTTTTTTTTTTTACCTAGATCCACATATAAAAATCCCATGTACACAATTATTTCACATAAAGTCAAGCACTGTTTGGAGAATAAAAATTTCCTAAAAGTTACTGAAGCCACATGAAATTACTCACTGCTGTGCGCCTAGCCAAATCAGGATGTTCTTGATAAAAATTCTTCTCAAATTTGGGGAGCTCATCAAGGTTCCACTTCTTTTTAACTAGTTTCTCCCCAGGATTTCCAAACTTCTTTCCAGATAGGGGCCCTGCCCTACTCCCTCCAAATCGAGGTGCACCAAACCTGAAACGGGGAAAAATCATTCCCATTTAAAATGTCGACTACTATTATGTTCTTGGTGATGCTGGAAGTTAAACTCAAGTCCCCATGCTTGCTAGGCAGGTTGGCTGGACTACCAATCAATCACACGGACAGCCTTTTTGTCTGACCCAGGCTAAAGAGGGCTTCTGAAAACACACAACACAATCTCCAGTCACAGTCACTACTCCCTTGACGGGCCCCGACTGGCATCCTGCATCCATTTCCCGCAGTCCCAGGCACGGATCGTGGAGGCCAAGCCAACAGCCCCGGATTTATCAGGGCGGAAACTGGCAGCCCAAACGCCCCAAGTTCAGATTACCAGGATAGACAACAGCTTGCCACTATTAACATCGTCTTTCCCAGCAGCTTAGGATTTAAGTAGCCGAGGGAAGGACGCAGGGAGGAGCCTGCCGACGACCGCGTTATTTGTGTGTTTACGGCTGCTTTTCCAAGCAAAGGAGCTCTCGCGTTGGCGAATGGCAGGGACCACGGGGGGGGGGGGGGCGGCGGAGGGAACACACCGGCCGGTAACCGGAGGCGGCTGGGGCTGTCCCGCGGAAGAGCTCGCCAGCAAGGTAACACAAAATTATATAACGTGAGGAAGAGAGCGGAGCAAAGGGAAAAAAAAAAACCCCAGCCGGCCGGGGAGGCGGCGACTGCCGGGGGAGGAGCCGGGGCCGGGCGGAGCCGGCCGGGCGGCGTTCCCGCTGGGGCGGCGCTTCCCCCTTTGTCTCGCATTTCTCTCTGCGCCACATTTTCTCGGCGCTGCCATTTTGAGCTCCTCCGCCGGGCGGGGTAACAAAGGCGCCGCCGCCATGTCCGAGGCCGGCATTTTGTGGCCGCGACTCTAGCCGCAGGCCGATGCCGCCGGCGCCGGGCCCCGCGCCCTGCCTTCCCACCGGCCGCTCGGCAAGCGGCTCCCCGGCCCGCTGTCCGACAACCCGGGGCCCCCCACCCCAAAACGCCCCCCGGGCCCCCCGAGGGCTGCGCCCCCCGGCTCCCCACCCGCCGCCGCCAACGGCGGCTCCTCCGCCCGCCCGCCCGCCGCTCGCCATACGCTCCCCCCTCCCGACTCCCCCCGCCCCTCCCCCGCAACGGCCGCTGGCTCGCCGAGGCCTGGACGGCGCCGACGAAACGCGAGCTCCGGCCCTCCCCCCGCCGCCGCGGGCAGGGCTCTTCTAAATACCGCAAAGCCTTCTCGGCAGAGGCCCCGGGAGAACACGCCAGGGCCCGATTCCCGCAGGCGCCGCCGCCGCCGCCGCCTCCCCCCTCCCCGACTCCCTCCCCTCCCCCACCCCGGCGCTGACAGGTCCGTTCCCACACTCACCCTCGATCCCGGCCGCGGTCCCGGTCACTCGAATAACTCGACATGGCGTCAATGGTTGCGGTTGGCGGGGCACTAAGTGAAGAGAATCAGGCGCGACGAGTCGCTGGGAGCGGCGACGACGACGAAGCCTCTGCGGGGGCGGCAGCGGCGGAGGGACGGCGATGACAAGAGCCGGAGCTGCGCGACCTGAGGCCGATGGAAATGAATGAGGTGCCGGCCGCGTCCCGGCAGCCGGTTTTATAGTCTGGACCGCCTCCCCGCCGCAAAGCACGCTGGGAGCCGCTCTATGACCTAATCGCCCCGCCCCCCCTGCGCAGAGGCCGCAACGCCCGCTGGCGTTCGGGAGTCCGCCATGTTCTCGCCCCTCCCCGCCCTCCCGGGCCGCTCCCTGCCCGGGGCCGGCTTTTCATCCCTGTCTCGTCTCGGCCCGTCTATCACTGAGATGCGTCCTCCCCGCACTCCCTGGCCTTCACGTCCTTCTAGTCTCTCCACACCTCAAGGAAGCTACCTTGCCCTTTTCCGGGCCCAGCTAGGCGATAAAATGGCCAGCGCAGACAGGCCCGCTCGGCCCACTATGGAAATGTTTACGTCTCCGCAGAGCCCCCACGCCCATCACCAAATGAGGCGGGGAGGCGGAGCTTGGTATTGTCACGTGGCCGCCCCCCCCTCCCCAACACACACACACACGGGGCGAGCGGGCCGCGCTACTTGGCAGCGGCGGAGGAATACACAACGACGCAGCTCACCGGAAGTGCGGTTCTAATGCCCTCCCCCCCCTCCCCAGAGACCGGTCGGGCTGCGGGGTGACCTAGACTGCTCAGCCCGCCGTCCTGACCACCCATGAGTGGGCGCTTGCCCGCGGGGAATGGTAGCTAGAGCCCGCAAACTGCCGCCTGGGCGCGTGCGGGCAAAGGAAGTGCTTCTCCGATGACCAATCAGCGGCGAGAAGCCGTTTTAACGTCCCTCCCTCTCTCCTCCCCTCCTTCCTCACTCCGGGCTGCGCGCCCCCTCCCGCCGGCGCGGGCTCTGCGCGGTGTGGCCCTTCCCGGACGCCGTCCTGCGCGCGCCCGCCCGCCCGCCGCCGAGTCCAGCGGCGATCTGTCTTCGGGAGCATGGCCGGCTCCGAAGCTGGTGAGTCTCCATCCCGAAGCTGTGGTGTTGTGTGAGGACGGCGGTCGTCCCAAGTTTCCCGAAGGCCTCGGGCCGCCCTGAACTGCGAGTGGGGCCAGCACCCCGTGGCAGTCGCGGGGGTCTGGCTCCCCTCCTCGCTCCGGGGCGTGGACGGGGGCCCCGGGGGAGGCCGCCGCGACCTCCGCGACCTCCGCCCTCCGGCTGTCGGGACGGCCCCGGGACCGCCCGGGACTTGAACTCTGGGACGTGTGGCCGATGTGCCCTCCGCCCCGGCCGTGGGGGGGCGAGGCGGCACTCCCTCCATCTGTGCTGCTTTTTCGTTTCTTTTTTTGAGGCGTCGCCCTGTAAAGATGTGGGGCTACCCCTGCCAGACAAGGAAAGTCAGCCCCCCCCCCGGGCCTTCTAGAATTACCGACGTTGTCTAACCCCGCTTTTGACAAGTGAGTTGCTTGGGTTGTCTAGGACGCTTCCATCCTTCTCTCCAGGACAACATGCAAGTAGTTAAAAAAAAAAAAAAAAAACCACCACCACCACCAACAAAAACCAACGGTCGTCAGTGTTTGGTCAGGCGTGAAAATGGCCCTGGGCCGGGGATGGGAGATACACAACCCTATTCGGTAGAGAACCTCCGCCTCGGGGTGACACGCCGGCAGTGTTTCTGACACTCGCGTACGTGCTTTTTAATCGACCGCCCATTCCCGGAAACAAGTGTTTCTGTTATTTTATAGGTTATCTTTAGTCGAGAAACCCTTAATTGAGGTAATCCCTGCACGGCCTGGCGGAGGGTTAGATGTGTGGTAGTCGATGGGAAACTTCGTTTTCCTTAATGTGGTGGTACTGAGCTTTAGAGGGTTTTTTTGTTTTGGGGGTTTAACATGTATTTCCCATGTTTTTGTATGCATCAAATATAATTTAAAAAACTAACAAATGCATAAGTGTGGGTGTTGTCATTACTCTAGTTTTAAGCAACCTAAATTAATCACTACTCCGGAGAAATCCTGACTTGCACAAGATAATTGGGTAAAAACGTGACTAACACTCTTAGGAATTCAAAGGCACCTCCACTGGAGAGAATCTGAGATTCTCATTTACAAATTGTCTTGTTTATGACATATTTGTTTTCTTTTTTTTTTTTCTTTTTTGTCGGTCGTGGGGCTTGAACTCTGGGCCTGGGTGCTGCCCAGCAGCTCTTCAGGTAGCACTCTACCATTTGAACCACAATGCCACTCCAGTTTTCTGGTGGCTTATTGGAGATAAGAGTCTCATGGACTTTTCTTGCCCTGGCTGGCTTTGAACCGTGATCCTCAGATCTCAGCCTCCTGAGTAGCTAGGATTATAGGTGCCCCACAAGTTGTCATTTATAGTTTTGACTACATTAAGATAATAGCAGTATAGAAGACATTTAAAGAAAATAAATACTTCAGAAATCTTGCCTTGCAGAGTCCACACTCTAAAAAATTCCTTATCTTGTTTTTGTGGGGCCATGCTAGTTTTTTAAATATGTGTATAACTTTCGAGTGCTACTGAAAATTGATTTCTTTTCCCCAACAGAGTGGGTAACCATTGCCAATAACCTTCTTTTTAAATGTCATATACACCTAAGGATACACAAACTTGAAGATTGTGATGCTAATGTATTTATTGCTCTTTATCAATCCATCCTGGGAGAAAAGGTACCAGGTAAGGGTATCTGTCTGTATCTAGTGCTTTAGATCCTTTGGTATTTGTGAAATTTTATTTTCTCTTTCTACATCGTATTTCTGTAACAAATACGGCATTCATTGCCTTAATAATTACCTTATGGAATCCATAATAATAGCCTTGATCGACTCACTTTTCTAGTTCTTGGTAATCCCTAATTCAGTCATGCTGAAAATGCCTTCAAGGTAAAGGTAAATACATCTTGAAAATTTCTAAAAGCTAGAACTTGGATGTTTTTTTTCTTTTTTCTTTTCCTTTTTGTGCTGGTCATGGGGCTTGAACTCGGGGCTTGTGCTCAGGTTAGTGCTATACTATTTGAGCCACAGCTCCACTTCTGCACTATTTTTTTTTTTGATTAATTGGAGATAAGAATCGCAGATTTTCTTGCCCAGGCTGTCTTGGAATTGCAGTTCTCAGATCTCAAGCTCCTGAGTGTCTAGGTCAGGTGTAAGCCACCAGCACCAAGCTTCTAGTTGGTACTTCTGATGCTCATCTCAGTTCTCTCCAGGGCTCATCCTCTTCAATACCAGGGAGAAATTCCAAAGTTCACTTGATCCTACAATCCACATTCTAGTCTGTACTGACTTTTTAGACCTTTGTGCCAGTTATTTCCAGTAGGCTGTTTTATCAGTACATATAAGAGCCTTAAACTAGCTGGATTCCATCGTGGACAGACACCCACAGAGGTTAAAGTCTTTGCCTCATATCTTGCCTTTTGTTTTTTGAGACAGTGTTTTGTGGTATTGCCCAGGCTGCTGTCAAGCCTGGGATCCTCCTGCCTCATCCTCTTAAATGCTGGGATTACAGGCATTGTGCCCCAAGCCAGGCATGGCTTCCTTATTGGGCTATTAACATCTCTTTGGATTTAGGGACCCCTGCATCTTCCTTTATATATGTTCGTGCTATTACTGAGTATAATAAATATCAAACCAATGTAGACTATTGGAAAATAACTTTAATCAATAAATATTCAACCCGTAATGATTTTTCTGTGTAGAACTTACGTTCCGTTTACTTTCCCAGTACTGTGTTCTGTGTGCTTAGTCAGTGCTTGTTTCTGTAGCAATTGACTTCACTCAGAAGGCTGGTCATAGACAAAACTTCACCACTTATAGATGCAAAGTAATGTGACTTTCCCCCCATAGACCTCATAGCTATTCCCAAAAGTCAAGAGGATGATGCCCACAATGTACAAGCTGTGATTGATTCTCTGGCATTGGATTACCTTCAGGTCAGCTTGTCTCACATAACAGGTTAGTATCTATTTCATCACCAGGTCAATCTACAGTTTTATTAATAACCTAAGCTATAACTTAGAAATTTAATTGACCAAATTAGGAAACTTATGGAATAGAAAAACTATTAAGAATGAGCTTCAGGGGCACCATCTCTGAAATACTCAGTAGGAGAAAATTGTGGTATACGTAGACTATACTACACCTCATTGAACAAAGGTGGAAAGAATGTACGTACAATTAATTGCATTCAGAATGACTTTGTAGATGAATATGTAAGGAAGTCATGTAACTAGTCATACGGATTGCCTCCAGCAAAAGGAACTTTGGAAAAGGGGCAAGAATTTCCATTGTATTCCTTTTGTACTTCTTGAATTTTGAACCATTTTATCTATTTTTAAAAATGTGGATTTTTTTTGTTTTGTTTTTTGGTTGTGGAGTTTGAACTCTGGGCCTGGGCACTGTCCCTGAGCTCTTCAGCTCCAAGCTAGCACTCTACCACTTGAACCACAGTGCCACTTCTGGTTTTCTAGTGGTTAATTGAAGAGTCCCATGGACTTTCCTACCCAGGCTGGCTTTGAACCATGATCCTAAGATCTCAGCCTTCCTGAGTAGCTAGGACTATAGGCATGAGCCACTGGTGCCCGGCTCAAAAAAATGTTTTTAATATAAACTCCTTTGGAAGTTTTTTCCAAAACAAAATATACTATGCTGTATTCCAGAACATACCAATATATATGACAAAAGCAAATGTTCTTTTATATTGGAGTTCAATTCTAGATAAGCACATATGCCAAACCAGTTTGGAGATCATTGATTTTGAAAACAAATTCTAGACTTTCCCTCTTCTTCCAACACAGTAGACTTGCTTTTATCACCTGGATAGGACAGCATCTTAGTATTTGTGATTTAAAACATACTGTAACAACTTTATAAAAGTACATGTTTTTAGAACTTTTTATTGTAGAGGTCCCACTGACAAATTGCACTCAGCCCATGAAAAAAATGACAAAACTTCTTTTACCTCCACCAGTAGACTGCGGAGCAGCTTTCTCTTGCTTAAGCCTCGTTGAAAGCAGTTTCTCCTGCACTGTGAAGCACTACATACACTCTGGCCACAGTCTAGTTGCTAGGTTAGCAAGTGTATACTCCCCATCCTAGAAACTCAGACATCCTCAATAAGCCCTGGGGTATACTTTAGTTTTATTAAGCCAGAAAAAAAAACAAAGATCTTGAAAACAAGATTTCTGGTTCATTATTTTAAATGGAAACAAACTTTTCAAAACATTTATCTATCGTTACTAGTGGGAATGCAAAACATCAGATTTCCACTTTGGGCTTCTTTTGTTTTTGTTTTTGTATATCATGGCTCAAATTGAATGGCTAGATTCAAATACCAAATTTCTCCTCTGTTGCTCCTGTATTGCTTTGAACTCATGAGACCGCCAGGCATGATTTCACACAGGACAAAGAATGCATTAAGAGTTAAATGCAAGCCAGCATGGTAGCTCATGCCTGTAATCCTAGACTCAGGAGGCTGAGATCTGAGGATCACAGTTCTAAGCCAACCCGGGCAGGAAAGTCCGTGAGACTCTTATCTCCAGCTAACCACCAGGAAACTGGAAGTGGTGCTGTGGCTCAAGTGGTAGAGTGCTAGCCTTTAGCTGAAGAGCTGAGTGACAGCGCCCAGGCCCAGAGTTCAAGCCCCACAATCGGCAAAAAAAAAAAAAAAAGTTAAATGCAGTTCACATGTAGATGTTATTGGAGTCCATTTGAGGTGATATGATATGAAGCATGTCAAGTTTACATACTATGTCAGTCCATTTCTATTCGACATTTTAACTTCACATTAGTTAATCATCTATTATGGGCCAGGTGGAGTGTTAGGGAATTTATATTAAAGTCTGGGAAAGATGAGAAAAGGGTAAGATTTTAAAGGGTTATATATGGGAATGGCTCAAGTTGTGTAGAACTCAAGTATGAGGCCCTGGATTCAATCCCCAGAATCACAAGCGATTACAGAAAAACCTCAAGGGGTTATCTATGCAGAGCTTGGATTATAACAATGGAACCAGGGCGGAGGGTTTAATCAGAAAAATGGTTTCATCTATACAACGTGAATAGGAGTTAATAAATGCGGGGACAGGAATCCCCAGTGACAAGTTGCTTGTTTTGGTATTACTCCACTGCTGCTTTCTCTTGAACAGATCGCCCTGCAGAAGTAGTATTCCACAGTCTGCAACTGCGCCCATGTGCCGTGTTTTTCACCAGCCTGTATAAAGTTCTGCCTTGCCATTTTATGTTTGAGAATCTTACTAGAAAGTGTTTTCTATGTCCAAATATTTTGCTTCTTGTGAAAAGGAAGAAATGTATCTGTGAATTATTTAACACCATATTTAAGTCCTCCCCCAATTTTTCAGATATAATCAAGCAGCAGGAAACTGATTTTTAATAGTCATAATTTTCTCCTGGTAATTTTATAATCCTATCTTTGTACAACATTTTCACAGTGTTAAACCATTTTAAGATTATGAGACTCATATTTTTTGGTTAAAAATGTTTAATAGCTTTGTATTTTGTACTCAGGAGAAAATATAGTGAAAGGAGATAAAGAATCTATCAAGAACCTCCTAGAAATATTTGATGGCTTGCTGGAGTATCTTACCGAACACATCAGTGAAGCATCTCATGAAAAAAGTAAGTTTAAAAATGGAGACTGGCCGGGCGCTGGTGGCTCACGCCTGTAATCCTAGCTACTCAGGAGGCTGAGATCTGAGGATCCAGGTTCAAAGCTAGCCTGGGCAGGAGAGACCGTGAGACTCCTATCTCCAATAAACCACCAGAAAACCGGAAGTGGCGCTGTAGCTCAAGTGGTAGAGCGCTCGCCTTGAGCTGAAGAGCTGAAGGACAGCGCCCAGGCCCAGAGTTCAAGCCCCACGACCGACAAAAAAAAAAAAAATGGAGACTGTAGGATTGCAGTGAAGATGGAGTTGAAGGATGGAGACTGTAGGATTGCAGTGAAGATGGAGTTGAAGGATGGAGACTGTAGGATTGCAGTGAAGATGGAGTTTCTTGGTCTTTTGAACTGTGATCCTCAGGTTTCAGCCTTTTAGTAGCCAGGATTACAGTTGGGATCCACCGTTGCCTGGCCTGACAGCAGCAGTTTTTACATATTAGTGCTTGGCTGCAGAGAGGGGTGGGATGGTAGTCCTCCTCTGTCCCCATTGGCAGGCTGATGATAGGCCTGATGCAGGCTGGAGGGAGGAAGACAGAACTGAGATACTTTTCATGTGAGTCAGCTGGGGAAGGTGGGGTGCCGTGCTAACCTGAGGCTGTTCTGGAAGAGGGTTGCTTCCCTGAGCCTCCTCTGTGACTGCTGGGGAACCTTTATCCTGTCAAGGGCCAATTTGAAGTATGTATTTTTATATACATATTTATGTGTGTATAATTTGTAGGCCATACAAAAATGATGAATTCAGGCAGACAGCCTCAGGCAAGCATACGAGTCAATCCTGTCATGCACCAAACGACTTTGGCCTTTGAGCCAGATGTTCTCCACCCTGCTCTTCGATACCTTCATTGGACATTTCATAAGGTCTAATTATCATGTAATGGAGGTTCAAAAGATACTTATTTAGCAGCATTCAAGCTGACAGGATTCTTCATTGGGAAACAAATCTTTTACAGTTCATCACACTAGCTGTATAGCACAGCTTTTCCTGAGACCTAGGCTAGCATTATCATTTGCCACTAAAGAGTAAGGACTTTGAAGGCAGGGCTGCTTCTCACAGTGTAATACTGAAGCTCTCTAAGCCCATTTCCTTATCTGAAGGTTTTGAAGAGGAAGTGGATAGGTATAAATAGCCCAGAGCCTAACCCAGAGAAAATGCACAATCATTGTTAACGAATGTTATTGAAATGTTGCTTGATGGAAAGCAAAATAGAAAAAACCGTGCAGGTGATGTCTGAACAGGAATGTGTAGAAATAGGAATGGGACTAGTGGGGAAAATACAAATCATAAGGGCTTTCTCCCATATTATCTCCTGAAATCACTGCTTGAGGGAATCTGCTCCTGGTGAAAATGTGTATTTCTAGGTATTTGGGGGTTAGAAAAACAGATTGATGGTCTAAAAGAAAACATCCAAGCCATAATGCAGTCGGACTCTTAGCCAAAGCTATGATTGTTTTGGAGTAAGTGGACACAATCATGTTTTTCTGCCTTTGTGGTTGGTTACCTCACACATCCCTTACAGGTGTAGAGCTATAAACAATAAGTGAATGTACCACCTAGCTTCAGAAATCAAGCACTGCTTATGCGTTTATAGACTTGTGGTTCTTAGTACCTGCTGTTTTTAACCTCTCGCATCATGGATAGCTAAATAAGTAAATAAAAATGTTACTCACGTAGGCAGTTTGGATATTATTTTTAATCTGTCCTAAACAGGTGAAACGGAACAGTATTTCAAAGAACCCCATCAAGGAGAACATATGGAAGAGCTAGAAAGTTCTATGAAATCTAAATTACCATGGAAAAGAGTTGCTGTTGGAAGGTAGTACATAATGTCTATGAATTTCATCAAAGCAAGTAATGCTCTCACTTGGCTTGGTTGTGCACACTTAATAATTCTCGTACTTAGGAGGCTGAGGCAGGATGATCAACAGTGTTGAGTTCTAAGCCAACCAGATCCTGTCTCAAAAAAGAAACAACAGGGCTTAGAGCTATGGCTCAGTTGGTAGAGTTCTATCCAATGGATGAAAGCATCAGGTACCAAGTTTGAGTCCTAGTCTCAGACCTAAACAAAAAAAAAAAAAAAGAAGAAGAAGAAAAGAAACAACAAAAGCCTGGAATTTAAAGTTGCACTGAAAATACTCAGAAGGATATTTTGCTAATGTGAATAGTTCACTTCTATTTTATACCTACCCATTCTTTCTTTTTTTAATTTGAAATTACCAACTCATTTTTATTTAATTTCCCCTTGATCAGAATAGTATATCTTCTCTAAATAAAACTTAGAAAGTTTTTCCTTCTTTTAAAAAGAAGGAAAAATATAAGATCTACCATTCAAAATTAAATACTACTACTGTGATAACATTGCTTTTAACTTTGTGTGTTTGTGCACGTGCACGCGCACACGTGCGTGCCAGTATTGGGCATACACTCAGGGCCTGGGCACTGTGCCTTAGCTCTTTTTTTTTTGCCAGTCCTAGGGCTTGAACTCAGGGCCTGGCACTGTCCCTAAGCTTCTTTTGTTCAATACCACTTTGAGCCACAGTGTTACTTCTGGCCTTTTCTGTTTATGTGGCACTGAGGAACTGAAATCAGGGCTTCATGCATGTTAGACAAGCACTCTACCACTAAGCTGCGTTTTCAGCCCTGTCCCTGAGCTCTTTTACTCAAGGCTGGTGCTCTATCTTGAGTTCAAAAGTAAAACATTTCAAAGATATTTCTAGAGTTACTGCCTTACCCAGAGCCCCTTCCACTCTTGCAGTCTTAGGCTAACCAGTATGCTGTCTGATATGTGTTCAATCAGTTTCTTCTTTGACAGTCTGTATATAGCAAGGAACAAGAAGTGATAAGCAACAGAAGGGAGTTTTCAAAAGTTGGTTGTTTTTGTTTCTTGGGGTGGTGGTGCTGGTTGAATCCAGGGCCTTGTGCATGCTAAGCAATGTCTCTATCACTGAGTCACACCTCCAGACCCCAGTCCAGTTTTTTTTTTTTCAAGTGCTAGGCAGAAAGCCTATGGCCTTATATATGCTAGACAAGCTCTGGACCCCTAATGCACATCCCCAGCCCTAGTCTCCAAGTCTGTAGTAGTGGCTGGCTAAAGCAACACTGGGTGCTCATAGCAAGTGTCTTTCATGGTCAAACTGGACTCTGAGCAACAGACCTCTTGCAGGTATTCCATCCCATCTGACAAGTTGGGCCCCAGTTGGGATGAAGATGAAGCCGAATCTACGGGTGAAATAATTAGACTTGGAGAAACAGCACATACCTTTACTCTAAGAAGCAATGGTGAGTAATTAATTGTCAGCATTATTCAACATACCACTATACAAATGTAAAGCCTGGGCTGGGAAGGTGGCTTGGTGGTAGAGTACTTGCCTTGCATGCATGATGCCCTAGGTTTGATTACTCAGCACTTTCATAAGCAGAAAAAGCCAGAAATGGTGCTGTGGATCAAGTAGTAGAGCACTTGCCTTGAGCTGAAGAGCTGAGGGTCAGTGCCCAGGCCCAGGGTTCAATCCCCATGACTGGCCAAAAAAAAAAAAGAGTAACCTGGCACAGTGATGCACAACTGTAATCTCAGCTCCTTGGAAAGCTAAGATCAGGAAGACTGTGGCTTGAGGGAAGCCTGGGCAAACAGTGAGACCTTCATCTCAATAAAGACCTGAGTGTGCTATTACTTGCCTATGTCTGACCTAGATGAGAGGAGAGATCAAGGTCCTGGCTAGCCCAGGGCAAAAATGTGAGCTCCTGCATAAATATTAACCTTAAAAGCAAAAGAGATTTGAGACATGGCTCAAATGGCAATGTGCTTACTTAGCAATGTAAGGCCCTCAGTTCAAACTCCTAATACCACACGTACACACACACAAATAATGAGCCACCAATAACTGAGCCACCTTCCTAGCCCCCTGAGACTCTTTATTACAATTAACCACCAAAAAGTCAGACATAAAACTGTGGCTCAAGGCTAGAAGGTGAATCAGTGGTAGCATGCTTGCCTAGCATCCATGAAGCCCTGGGTTCAATTCCTCTGTACCACATAAACAGAAAAAGCTGGAAGTGCTGCTGTGGTTCACGTGGTAGAGTGCTAGCCTTGAGCAAAAGAAGCTCAGGGATACTGCCCAGGCCTTGTGTGCAAAAATACACAAAAACTGTAGCTCAAGTGATAGAGCACTAGCTTGAGTGAAAGAGTTAAAAGAGAGGACCTAGTTCTTGTTCCAAGACCCAGCAAAAAAGATTGAGATGAAGAGAGTCCTAACTAGCCTACCATCATTACCCACTAAATATGAACAGATATCTGAAGTCACAGGCAATTCAGAGTCACAGGCATGAGCAAGTAAGTCCAAATCAAGTAAGTGGGTGCAAATTGTCATGTGTGACTGGATGTCACAGGAAGAGAATTCTGGGTACACCTTTACAGTCTAGTCATGCTTTCATAGTAGCATTGTTCCTGAACGGGTTTGCTTTTTCTTTTTTGTTTAAGTTTTAGCAAGGATTTAGTTTAGCGTAACAGGTTAAAGTAGAAAGAAATCAAAACAAACATTTTGTGCTCCCAATGCAGGAAATGGGAATTAAAGACTGTTGACTCCATTTTTTTAAAAAATCATTTTAAGAAGTTCATACTCCCAGTGGCAATTTTCCCCCTTTGCTTTTTAGGCATATTTTCTTGAGAAGCAGATTTTTTACAAAATTAACATCAGGGAAACAGCAGATCACAGAATGAGTTAAGTACAACTTAGGACTCGGGACCGAGAACAACTCAGTGTCACCTGAGCTGTGTAATAACTGCATAGGGATTTAAAAGTCGTGTTTCTGAAATTTCTTTTGATTTTTAAAAATGTATTATTATCTGGTGGCTCACGCCTATAATCCTAACCACTCAGGAGATCTAAGGATCATGGTTCAAAGCCATTCCAGGCAGGAAAGCCCATGAGACTTTTATCTCCAATTAACCACCAAAAAGCTGGATTTAGAACTGTGGTTCAAGTGATAGAGCACTAGTCTTGAGCAAAAAAACTCCAGGACAGTGCCTAGGCCCTAAGGTTAAGCCCCAGAACCGGCACCAAAAGAAAAGAAAAAAAATACCTTCATACTTTATATTAACATGTATATGACATATCAGTGACTGTGTCCCCTCTCCAATTGTGTCATATACATATGCAAATAGCCCTAAAGGCAAACACTTGGTGTCCTAAACATTTTAAATGTGAGATATTCAGCCTGTTACTGGTTTTCAGTAGAGGGGCTGGGAAGGTGGCCCAGTGGTAGAGTGCTTGCCTTGCATGCATGAGGCCCTGGGTTCGATTCCTCAACACCACATAAGCAGAAAAAGCTGGAAGTGGTGCTGTGGCTCAAGTGG